ATAGAACGTGCTTAGTGACGCCACGTCACGGCGTAATTGTAGAGGCTCTAGGTGTTTAGTCACCTCTTCATCGCCTATAATGCGGATCGCGCGCCGCTGTAACCCATCCAAGGTATCGACAAGTACTTGGTGGAGTCATCCCAGAGTTGCGAGCAATTTTCCACGCAAGACCGCACCTGCTCCTTATACAACAAGCACAGTTAAATTGCTCGGGCGTGAAAAAACGCCGAAAAAAACCTTGAAATAAACCTTGTTCAGGTCTCCAAGACATGAAAGGAATGGCAACGTTTTTGCCTTGAAAGCGCAGACCTGGGTTCCTCAACCAAACCTGGTACCCCATTCAGAAATATGGTCCAAAGCCTGAGCCTGAATTCAATGACAAGATTCTCCCGTTTCTCCTTGGTAACCGCCTGCCCAGCCGCTGCTTGTCCGAGATACCCCGCATGCACTGTAATATTCCCAAAAGGAATTTTAGTCATTGATATGCAGCAGAAAGATAGTGGGGAATAGGACGGAGCCCTGAGGAACGCCGTCATTCACTGACATGAACCGCGAACTGTTACCATTCGTAAGGACACGAATTCTACGTTCATGCAGGAGCTACCCAAGAACAGATCTGTGCCGGCAAACCGTATGCCGGAAGCTTGGAGAGAATGCTTCTGTGCTAGACCCTGACGAACGCCTTGGCTGTCATGTCAAGGCATGTCAAGGCTGATAACCAACGACTTGCCCCGCTTGTCGATAGCCTCACCCCAGATATGAGTCAAGTACGCTAGAAGATCACCCGTCGATAGTTTGGGTCTAAAACCATATTGAAGATCGTTAATCAAGGATTCATCCTCTAGGTAGTGGGTCAGATGGTTGTTAAGAACCTTTTCTAGGACTTTATATAATACTGGGGTGACTGCTATTGGCCGGTAGTTTACCGGGTCTGAGGGATCCCCTTTTTTGGACACCGGTTGCACGTTGGCATCTCTCCAAGTCTCCGGCACACGCCCCAAAGAATACGAGTATTGGTACAAGCGCGTGAGAGCCGAAGACAACTCCGCTGCACATTTTTTTGGTACTACTAATGGGATGCCATCAGGTCCACCAGCTTTCCGGATGCCGAGTGATTGCAATTCGACACGAACCTCACGCTGCCTGATTTTAATATCAGGCATCGTTGTGCCACAATGAGGTAATGATGGTGGCAGTGCATTGCAAATATCGAGTCTGGAGTTAGCCGCAAAGAGTTTTGCCGGTAAATCGCCTTTCTCCCGTGGCTTATGAGCTAGTGTTCCGTCAGGGCATCTCAGAGGTGGCAGCGAGAGCTGGCAGAAGTTCTTTTGCACGGCGTTATAAGTTCGTGACCAACATGTGCAACGCGCTGGGCATCCGCTGTAATCCTTCTTACAGGTCTTGAAAGCAAAATTATAGGCTGCTTTTAGTGAATCACCCCGGGATCCTTAAGAGCACGGCCTCAGATCCAAGCACGATATGCCGCTTGCTTACGCGAAACAGCTTCAGCACAGTGGTGATTGAACCAGAGGTTACGTGTGTCCTTACTGAAGAGATTGGAATGAGTAATATAGTACCATTACAATCTCCTCAGAATAACAACGGCGCTGGCAGATAGGTTCTTGTCACTGAAGCAGCGCTGCTTCTAAGGGACGGACGCAAAGTTGTCACGCATACCGTTCGAATCTGCCGACCCATAGTGACAGATCCGGCGTTGTACCACCGTTGGACGCGCAGGCTTGGCCTGTGGCGCTTTGGTAGATAACGGGCAGTGATTCGAAGAGCCCAGAGACCGCTTACCACAACCTGACAGCTCTGTGGATGGGTCGTGAGCAGAAGGTCCAGTAATAAAGGTGATTGACTTGAAATATCTGGAATCCTGGTGGGCTGATCGACCAGTTGCTTCAAGTCATGCGTGAGCAGAGCCCTGCATGGTTGGTTTTCGAGGAACTTAACCACAACTTAAAATTGTGGTAAGCATTAAATTCCCCCAAAAATACCAATTCTGCTTTGGGAAATTGTTCTTGCGCGTCATCTGCTGCCCGACTAAGGTGTTCGAAAAGTCGTGTTGTCTCAATATCGCGAGTATGGGATCTGTAGAGGCACACGTAGATTTTGGCCTGGGGACCAGAGTCGACGGTACCACCAGCATGGAGTAGGAGTGATCTTCCAAGCAGCGGAGACGGCGACAACAAACATTCGCCCGAACATACAGGCATACACCGGCTTTCGCTTTGAAGGACTCTTTAAACACGTAGCCGGGATAGTTAAGGTAGCCTGTGTCAGCAGGCAGAAGTATTTGTGTCTCCGTCAACAATGCTGGGCGTGCTCTTTCAAGATAGTGGTGGACAGCGTTGAGGTTAGAGTGGAGTCCGCGTATGTTGCCTGGGGGTATGCACCGCTATACTTAGTTGTTTTAGAGGCTGCCATGGTGGAATTGAAAAAGAGACGTGAAAATGAGCGGGCGGTGTCGCGAAGAGTCCTGGCAAATTAGGAAGATTTGTTTTCCCGATAGAAGCATTTATGTACTTGCGATCTGATAACTTTTTGTCGTACGAGTGATACATGATCCCGTCTTGGCAACATTTTCCATGAAAATGTTTTGGAGAGATCTTTTATTCAGTTCAGGCTTTCAGGCACTTGTGTACGTACCCCATACAAATCTACGGCGGGGGGCTTTGTACTAAGAAGCGGCAAGAAACTCAGCAAGAGCTTGTTTTTTTACCCTGTAGGTTTCAGAGTCATCAAATTAAAAAATGAGGACAGAGATAATTCATGAAGTCTTTTTCCATTACATATTTTTATTCTTTATTTCGAGCTTGAGTTTCGAGCCTACCTACTTCGAATTAATCTATTTACACCAACTTTTCTTATTGTCTAACTATTATTATCTTTCCTAGGCACAACAAGGCTGGGTGGCTTGTATTGCTTTCAGATTACCTTTATACAAGGATTTATTATGGATACCCACATTAACCTGACTAACTTTTACATTGCGAAAATGAATAATACACCTAGACTTGCGGCCAATCTCAGTGTCTGATCATAAGCCTACCCACTAAAAACCTTACAGATCGCCATTGGACATCTCTTGGCAGTACCAGCATCAGGCAAGACACCGGAACAGACAGTATTCTAAGTTATCCTTGGTGGATCCCTTCGACTCCGTTGTCGACGATGTACACAGAGTACGACTATATGGTCGTTGGGCCCGTAAATTACAGGGTCAAAGGACAACCAAGCTCGAATCCCACCGGTACTATTGAAATTCCAGACCAGCCGAGCTAAAAAAGTTATCTTAAATATGATCATGACTTTAATAAATAAAAATATAAAGACAAAAAGGTACGGACCAATGTAAACTTTAAAATATAATAAAAAAAGAACTTCCCTGTCTACCCGACTGATCTGTGTAAAACTCAAAAATAACGATCAAGCTTTGAACATAAATAAGTAATTGTAGGTACCTACAGGTACTACATAGGTATGTACTACTCCAAAGAGAAGAGTGCTGGTGTACCTGGAAGCCGGTGGACTAGCAGGATGAATATTATTGATATACAGTACCTACAGTATCCGGAACTAACATATCTCTTTTTAAATTTGAGGGACGTAACTTTGTAGAAATAAATCGTATTATGCAGAATCAATTTAAACATAAGTTTGGACGGAGGTAGGAGCATTTAAGCAGTGCATAGAAGGTATACGTAAATATTCAGTGTGCTGTATGGTTACGGTGGTGAACGGATGCGCCAAATTACCAGGAAATATTAAAATCGAATATTGGCATTTTATATTTTATTGCAATTTCGCGTAGACTCAAGGTATTATAACATTAATAGCTACTAAAATACGCATTTAAAACATTCAAAATCGCGTCGAGTACAGTGGACGCCGCAGGGTGGCAGTTTGTAAAGATGCAAGAAGTCTTAGAAGATGTAAATATATATATATATATATATATATATATATATATATATATATATAAGTTTGTGTGTGTAATGCGTGCGCTCTTCCCGACGAGCATGAAAGTTGGAAGGTGAAGGCTGAAACGCTACGAGCGTCACACGCGTCAATATATATATACATATATATGAGTGATGCGTGCGCTGCTAAATTCCCCTATGCCTTATGTTAGGTTATTCACGAAAAGAAGTTTCACTTCAAATGTGTGGTCCGTGCACACATTTTTTTATTAAATTTTAAATCTCTAAAATTTTCATCAGTACTGTAGGTTTACCCTTGCAGAGTTCATCTGAGATAAGATATCCAATCTTACTTTCACAAAATAGAAATTAAAGTTTCTTAGTAATTAGGTGAAAACATCAGTTTATGTCATTGGGAACCGTCAAAACAGACACGCATACAAGAAACTAGTTAGCACAAAATATCTGAATGCTTACATTTAATATTACACTAGTGAATCTTACATCTATCGTATATCTATATCCACCGTATAATAGAGAATTCATTAGTGAACATACAAAAACCGAGATCCCCGCCAATCTATGTGACACTTTCATAAATTGCTAATACTGCCCGATAATTAATTTTGAAAACAAAAAACAATATAAAAAAACAATTGATTTAATTGATTCACTGGCTCGAATAAAAGTTACAATAATACTTAAAATAACTGCCGCTTTTAAGAAAATAATTCTCATAACAAACTCGACTACTACATCTAAAACATATAATTATTTTAAATATCTGATGACATGGAATTAATATGAAAAACTTCGTAGGATGATTAGGTTAAGTGGTTAATTTAGTACCGAACGAGGGAATATTAATGAAAGAAGTGTGTAAAATTAGACCAGTACCCTTAGTACGAGTTTTACAATTACAAAAACTATGATAGTTTCCGTGAGTACTAATGGTACCCCGATTTTATTGTTTTCGTTTCAATACAGATAAACAGTGTTTAAAGATCATTTGTGTCTTCTTAAATTTTAAGTATATTTGGTTACTTTTCACCAAAATGGACATAGAAACATAATTTACAATTACGAAAACTATATAGTTTTCGTGAGCTCAAAGGCTCAAACTCGTACTGAGGGGAACTCTTACCACTGTGAATTCTCGATCTAAAACCTCACCACATACTAACAGAGGGGGGAGGGGGTAAAAAGTTGCTAAAAAAAACCATCACGCGAACATTGGACGACCCCTCAGTCCAGTAACAGTTCTTCCGACACGAGTCGTAATTATTTAAATTACTAAACTGTACCTCAATATTGGTAACAAATACAATCATTCAAGGGACATTGAACTTGTTTAACAGCGTACCTCTAATACAGCCGTGGCTTGTTGACAACCGGTTAAAACAAATTATTCAAGAGACTTAATAATTTCATTTTAAACTTCTCTAACCATTAAACGGAGTATCTCATGTTATTTCCACATCACCCTATACAAAAAAAGTACACAAAAAGATTTAAATAAATACTGGGTACAGTCGTATAAAACCATGATAATACAAATTAAATACATTTTGATTACTAACACGTCCTTCCAAAAATACGTCAGATAGAAATGTGTTACCGTAATAGTATACAATGAGCTACGTCCTAAGGCAATGGGGGCGCCGGCCGCGCCGCTGACGGGACTCCACCAGCTACTTAAATATAGTATGTTAATGTAAATGGCAATTCAGTGGAAGCTGCACAATTGAATCAAACCCGCCACCTGCAAAAAATAGATGCTATTATAATATAATACACCTTTGTTTCTTAGGTTTTCACGCACATCACTCATTAAATAAAACTAGTTTTTACGGGTTAATGCGAAACGTCAATAAATAAATAAAGTTTCGTGCATTAACCCGTAAAAACTAGTTTTATATAATATACCTTACTAGCAAACCAGTGAACCAAATGTTCACCAAAAAAAAAATGTATTTTATTAATTGAGAACTTCGGAGATTTTGTGTGGTTTTGTTTGAAATAGAAATCACGTGATTTCTCGAAAACCGGAAGTGCTACGTTACTCAAATCCGGTTTGTAGTCTTATCAGACTATTCTTAACTTATAACTTAAACATTCTCTATATCTATCTCTTACGGTTTGGCCGCTGAAACAGCACCACGGACGGACGGACGGACTTGTCTAATAGATAAGAGATTATAATTCTCCCTTATCCCTCCATCACCTTTTCTTCAGAGAACCACATGCGCTGGCCTACGTTACCACCGACTTACTTTAAGAGAGACGTGAAGAAGCATTTTTGCAGACCGGTAAGGTGAGGATGGTTGGTGTGGCAGTTTATAACTGCTGTGGTGACTTTATCACCACTTAACATCAGGTGGGGTAGAGTCATTTGCCTACCTGGCTATATAAAAAAACCTTACCAGTGCCACATTAATTAACACGGGGTAGAAACTTTCAACATCAGCATCAGCCTATTAATGTCGCCACTGCTGGGGCACAGGTCTACCCTATGGATGGAATAGGGAGATTGGGTCATGACCCACCACGCGGGCCCAGAGCGGATTGGTGGGTGCTAACGACTGCAGATGCAGCCGGGACCAACGGCTTAACGTGCCTTCCGAAGCACGGAGGAGCTCGAGATAGTAATTTTTGGTCACCCACCCAGTGACAGACCACTGCGAAAGTTGCTTAAGTTCAACGATCGCAGCGGAACGCGCTAACCACTTGCGCCATCGAGCTCCTCATTGCTACCATGTATGTTTTACGAGTCCCCGATATTTCGGCACTGTTGCAAGCGCCATGATCACGGAGTAATTTATGTTACTGCGTTAACATGGGAATCACTGGCAAGGTCCTATATGATAGCAACCCAGTCACTAACATAAATTATTATAGTGTCAGTGACCCACAGAGTTTCATCCAATGTCTCCATTCTAGAGGACTGCGCTTATAACTTTAAAACTGGTACAAAATAAGAGTGGTATTTTACCAGAATGTGTCTCGTACGAGTTCCTTCATGATTAATAGTTTAGCTCATGAAGGTTCATCATAAGCCTATTAATGTCCCCACTGCTGGGGCACAGGCCTTCCCTATGAATGGAATAGGGAGATTGGGTCATGACCCACCATGCGGGCCCAGTGCGGATTGGTAGGTGCTAACGACTGCAGATGCAGCCGGGACCAACGTCTTAACGAAGAACGAAGCAACTCGAGATAAAAGTTTTTGTGCACGCTGCCCGACTTTGGAATTCACTTCCTGATACCCATCGGAAAGACATGTTCACTTAATTCCTTTAGCGATCAAGTTAAAAATAGCTATTTCCTTTCTTTATCTTAAATTCATTTCACATCCTATTTCTTTACTTCTCTTATATTTATGTAAGAATAGCTCCTGCATCTACTTTTGCACCCTTCTATATTTCTCTATTATTATTCCTTTTCTACCATAGGTTACCTGGAAGAGATTGCTGTTCAGCAATAAGGTCGCCTATTGTATACTTTTCTTCATTTTATAAGTTTATGTCTTCCTTTGTTGTGTACAATAAAAAATATCACCCATCCAATGACCGACCACTGCGAAAGTTGCTTAACTTCAACGATCGTAGCCGAACGCGCTAACCACCCGCGCCATCCAGCTCCTCCGTGAAGGTTGCCGGGACGCATGATACGCACCTGTGATGCAGGTCCTTCGTTGTGTGCAATAAAGAATATTGTTATTATAGAAGATTTTTGGTCACCCATCCAATGACCGACCACTGCGAAAGTTGCTCAACTTCAACGATCGTAGCCGAACGCGCTAACCATCCGTGCCATCGAGCTCCTCCATGAAGGTTGCCGGGACGCATGATACGCACCTGTGATGCAGGTCCTTCGTTGTGTGCAATAAAGATTTTTGGTCACCCATCCAATGACCGACCACTGCGAAAGTTGCTCAACTTCAACGATCACAGCGGAACGCGCTAACCACCCGCGCCATCGAGCTCCTCCATGAAGGTTGCCGGGATGCATGATACGCACCTGTGGTGCAGGTCCTTCGTTGTGTGCAATAAAGAAGATTTTTGGTCACCCATCCAATGACCGACCACTGCGAAAGTTGCTCAACTCCAACGATCGCAGCCGAACGCGCTAACCACCCGCGCCATCGAGCTCCTCCATGAAGGTTGCCGGGATGCATGATACGCACCTGTGGTGCAGGTCCTTCGTTGTGTGCAATAAAGAAGATTTTTGGTCACCCATCCAATGACCGACCACTGCGAAAGTTGCTCAACTCCAACGATCGCAGCCGAACGCGCTAACCACCCGCGCCATCGAGCTCCTCCATGAAGGTTGCCGGGACGCATGATACGCACCTGTGGTGCAGGTCCTTCGTTGTGTGCAATAAAGAAGATTTTTGGTCACTCATCCAATGACCGACCACTGCGAAAGTTGCTGAACTTCAACGATCAAAGCCGAACGCGCTAACCACCCGCGCCATCGAGCTCCTCCATGAAGGTTGCCGGGATGCATGATACGCACCTGTGATGCAGGTCCTTCGTTGTGTGCAATAAAGATTTTTGGTCACCCATCCAATGACCGACCACTGCGAAAGTTGCTCAACTCCAACGATCGCAGCCGAACGCGCTAACCACCCGTGCCATCGAGCTCCTCCATGAAGGTTGCCGGGACGCATGATACGCACCTGTGTTACAGGTGAGGGCCCTACGGGGACAGGTCCTGGTGCATGTGGTCGTAGCCCATGGAGGCGTCGTAGGGGGGCTGCGGCTGGTCGTAGGGCGGCGCGGGCAGGGAGTAGCCCATGGAGTCCTGCGTGGGCGCCGGCGACATCATCGGCGTGGCCGTGCCGGACGCAGCGCCCATAGAGTAAGGCGACGCGCCTGCCGCTGCCGCACCAACCAACGGTTAACTTACGAACTAGACGCGACGATATTAAATACCCTAGGTACACCGCGTGCACTAAAAATGTATCCCAATCAAGAAGTGCTTGAACGCCCCTCGAGCACTTCTTGGTTCAGTCACGCTCGGACCGTTGTCAAGTTGTCGCGGGGCTCAAATGCAAATAAAATGCGAAAAAAATACTTATAGTGCGTAGGGTGTCGTTTCTTCGACAGCAGTATCTAATCATTGTTACGCATTTGAAGCAAATTTTGTTCTAATACTTAGGGCGCTTTCAATTTATGCGTTTCTTGACGACCTTTTTTTTCTCACAAAACGCGCGGTGCGGCAACAGTGCGGCGCCGGTACCGCGAACGCTCGACAACGGGACTGTTCCCGCACCGCGCGTTTTGTGTGAAAAAAAAGGATCGTCCGTACGCTGTACGACAAACGCACCGCTTCGGCACCGCAGCAGGCCGTCAAGAAACGCATAAATTGAAAGCGCCCTTACTATCAACTGATTTAATAGAAAATATTTATGATATTCAAATGCAAGATTGGTTATATAGGCATCTCTTTTCCTCGCGGTCTGTACCTGCTTTTATGGGTCATAACGCTTCGATGCATGCGTTTTAATTAAGACCTTATACAGTATTCATTAAAGATAACTTTCAATATTTAAATAATGCCTTATATTGTTTTTGACAACGCGATCATCTTACGGAGCTCCGTGGATCGTCAAATGTACCTTTTGGACAGTTTGCGGGCACGATATTGTTCGTGTTGGTGTATCTAGGATATTTAATATCGTTGACTAGATGCGAAGGGGCCGTTTGCGTAAAAGTCGCGGTACGAAACTCTAGAGCTGACCGTTATTGCGCAGAATTAAAAATTAATATGTCTTGGGGAGAAACCAATGCGCCGATTGTCTCTCCAGTCGTACCCATGCGCAGCTTTCCCTGACGGGTTTTGATCAGCGATAGAGTTATATGCCGCGACTTATACCGCGCCCGTCACCGCGACGTCAGCGAGAACGAAACTACGGAGCCGAAGTAGCGACATATACTTTTACTCGAAAACATGGAGAATGGACAGCGAAGTAATACGGGATGAATAAGTGTGAAATAGACGGAGCGATAGGGAGGCCCACAGTTAGTCTATGCATTGGTCTCAGAACAACAACTAAAGCATAGAATGCTATGACGTTTGATTTCCAAAAAGTATTACCCGACCAATTAGTATTAGTTGCGTGTTGGAAGGTTGCATTTGACATTAGATCACTCTTTGATTCGGTATTGTCAAGGTTCACGCTGTTCATAATTTGGTACAAAGCAACATATATTTGCCCCTTTTTTGGTCTATATGTAAAAGTAAGGTAACTATACGAGTCAACTTTATAAGTTGAATTTTGAACTCTTTCTATGCTTTAGATCAAATTTTTGAGGTATTGATTGTTTTTGTCTCTATCTAGAGTCGTCAATTTTATGCAAGTATCTTCTAGTCAATTCTCTATGTTTAAGCGTTTACTAAAGCCGTTAGCCCAGTCCACGGCAGCGGAGCTCGTACTCAGTCCGAGATTTTTAGGAGCCAAGTACCGGCAAATCAAAACAGTTGAGCACTGTGACGTCGCTACAAACCGATTGTTGGTATAAAGAAAGCAAATCTAAAATATCGTTCTCGGTGACATCCCAGTCATGGTCGTGGTGGACAAAAAAGCTCTCAGGGTGAGCAATCGACATAAAGCGGTGCTGCGCGCTGTATGTAGTGTTATTATAATACAGCCGCTAAAAGAATGTACCCCTAGCACGAACCAATATCGAATTCGTATCGTTTGCGAGTCCGCAATGAACGAAATTGTCAAATGTGTACTGATTTTTAGTTCCAAGTTTCCATACAAAATTTGACATTGACATTTCGGTTTGCAAACTATTCGAATTCGATAATGGTTCGTGCTAGGGGTACAGTTCTTTATGTAGACAGAATATTAGTTTATGTTCGAACATCTTTTTACTAGTGTAATTTATTCTGTTAACATGACTTTTGACGAAAGCGTTCTTTCAGAGTTGACTGAGCGAATAGCACTGTGCACCATAAGTGGATGTTGTTGATTGGTCACCCTTACATTGTGTATGCTAAAACAAGGTTGCTCCCTAACTCATAATGTGATCATGATTTCTTTTAGTTATATGTGCATTGAACCAATGCCTAATGTGAATAAGATTTGGGATTGTCGCAAGATACTAATTTTTAAAATAAACAATTTGCACTGAATCTCCATGATTTATAATAGTTTTCTTGTTTGTAATATGTATGTGATAGAAGTCACTATGAAACAGATACTGTAATTTGAATATGTTTAAAAAATATACCGGAGGACTAGTAAATTTGGATAAGAAAATTCTATATGACTTTGTATGATGATTTTAAGTATCAGTGTAACATAAATCTCACATTATTTGCCCTTAAACATGCAAGTTGGCAAAAAACACATTGTTAAAATTCGCCAGAAGATCTGCTAAATGATCACAGCCAATTTAATATTAGCATTTTCCTACCAAATTGTTCACACATCCCAGTAACGGCCGTTCCCAACATACTATCACCAGTAAAAGAGGAACAGATATGTCGTGATTTCAATATACTTTTCGAATAATTAACAAAATCATAAAACTCGGGTACACCTGCCTCTTACCAAGGGTAGTTTATTGGGAACAGTTGACAAAGAACACAATGAAGTTATAGAATCCATATTGCAAAATATTAGTTTAAAACAGAATCATCTTCCGAATTGAAACAGATAACTACGTTTGTTATTCAACTAGTACATAAGAATTTCAATGTTTACTGTAATATGAAGAGGCTCTGGGAGGGGAGTTGGCATCGCGCCTGCCCGCACCCAGCCAGGGTAGGTCTGTGTGCGGAAATTCGTATACTCAGTAAGGCCATTCCAATAACTTGTAGATTTTTATGACGCGCGTTCACATAAAACAATTTTCCGTGTTTAACTTTAAAGGTATTTAAGTGAAAAGCAGATTAAACTGACGCATCTTTTAAAACTATTTCTCAAGCAATCATAGTGGGTATATCTTAAAAATTGATAAAAGAATACATTGAAATTAATTGGGCACGAATCTAGGAAAACACGAAAAAATCTTTGATCGTAATATTTAAATTAAAAATGGCAGTAGTTAATTAACTATTGAAAATACTATAAAGATAATTTATCATTCCTACTGTACCATCTGAAACACAATACGGATTGCCATACTAACGTGTTTAAGATAGTATAGTTAGGAATTCGTATAAAATGAGTGTCAATTACCGGCGGCCTTCTTGGCGGCGTACAGATTGGCCTCCTCCTGCGCCTTGCCGATGTTCTTCTTGTAGCGGATGCGCTTGTTGCCAAACCAGTTGGAAACCTGACCACGATAATAAACAATGTCAGCGCCACCATTCACTGTTTACATCGCTCGAGTTGCCGAGTGCTGTGCTATATTAATTGTGGAAAAAGGCACAACACGCCAAAACTAGATCATTATTTATTTTGTTTGTTAATTCAAGGTTCATTCTTGATTCAGAAAAAGCGAAGGCAATTGAATAACAATGTGTACTCGTAACAATCTTTTCCTTCATTTACATTCAAATAATGTGATCAGTACCCCTAGCACGAACCAATGTCGCATTCGTATCGTTTGCGAGTCCGAAATGTCATTGTATAGGTACTGATTTTTACTTCTCGTTACGTACTTTGTGCCGCTGCTGTTCAAGTTTCCATACAAAATTTGACATTGATTTTTCGGTTTGCAAACTATTCGTGCTAGGGGTAAGGTTCTGCCTTTTTTTCAAAGTATGATTCCATTCTTTACGCTCTGTCAGAAATTTGTGATTTTCTCCAAACTAGAAAAACAAAAGACACAAAATTAGGTTGCAACAAAAAGGGAGTAAGGCACCTCGAGTATCCGAGTACCTGCGACACCGTAATGCCACACCTCCTCGCGAGCTCGTCCTTCACCTCCTCGCTGGGGTAGGGGTTGGCGAGGTGCGAGTAAAAGTACTCGTTGAGCAGCTCGATGGCCTGCTTGGTGAAGTTGCGTCGTTTGCGGCGCGCGTCCAGAAAGCTGCGGGCAAACCGAGCGGTTACTGCTTTGTACCTGCGACACGGTGATGCCGCACTTGCGCGCCAGCTCCTCCTTGGCCTCCTCGCTCGGGTACGGATTGGAGAGGTGCGAGTAGAAGTACTCGTTCAGGATCTCCGACGCCTGCTTGCTGAAGTTGCGCCGCTTTCGGCGGGCGTCCAGGAAACTGCAAGCGGTAATTTTGCTTTTCGTAACATGCCGAGGCCAAAGTTGAGCTGATGTCACACAAGTTGTTTGCAGTTTTCCAATTACAGCACTAGAGCGCATTATGCTAACGTTGAATGTTTCAACTGCAGCAACGCCTCGCACAATCGAGCACTCTCAAAAGTAATGTTTTCGTGTGATGCGTGATCGATACCAACACAGTGACAGAATATTAAATAGTGTTTTTTTCTTTAAGTTGGCATTGATCGTAATGTTTTATTTATATACTAGTGGCCCGCCCTCGCTTCGCTTCGGTGTAGAGCTGAAGTGTAGACTACAGTTTTTGTTCTCAGGCTTGTATTATACACAATGATTCTTCTTATACCTACCTGCATGCAAAGTCTCAGCCCGATTGGTTTAAAATTAACAAAGTTTCATACAAACTTTCATTCCCTATTTTATCCCATTGGGGGTAGAATTGATCAAAATCCTTTCTTAGCGGATGCCTACTGCATAACATCTACCTGCATGCCAAATTTCAGGCCGATCCGTCTGTGGGCTGTGCGTTGATAGATCACTATGTCAGTCACCTTTGAGTTTTATATAGATAGATTATCGTTAGTAATATTATTTAGTGTTGAAAATTTTTTAAAGCTTTCGTTTCATTGTAATTATTATGTATACCACTTTATTTACACATTATTGAGGTTAATGCTAACTCTATGAAGTTTTTTTTTCAACACTGAACATAGCGCACTCTGCTGGTGCATTTGAAAACTAATTCACGTTCCAATTAAGCATCGCATTATGCTCTGTAATTGGAAAACTACCATTTTTTGCTCACGCTCGTGGACGTTAATCGACGGCGCGTTGCTCACGTGACAATGTTGACATTTATAGTTGTGTGAAATGAATTATGAGTGTAGCCGATTATCCGCGGTTCCGTTATCGATTGTTACAGTAATAATACGAGGTGCGCTACACTTACCGAGAACGAAGGATCATGACGGCCTCGCAAGTGGACTGTTTCAGCTGCATCTGGATGGAGCTGAACTTCTTATGGATGATTTGAACCATGCGCTCAATTTCCTGTTTATACAATATTTTTTTTTAAGTGAATTTCATGATGTCATCAACAACACTTCAGGCATTTGGCCCCGTATTATAGAAATATTATCAGTGATTGATCTAGTCTTGAGCATAGTTAGAATGGGATGTCACTATATATAGCACATAGCGACATCCCTTTCTAACAGTACTCGAGTAAAGATCAACACTCAGTTGTCATTCTGTAACACAGACCTGAGAGTAGCAGGCCTGCTGAATACATATTTTACACTTAAAGAGCCTAATAAATTATCAAAGTAGTTGGTGTGTGATGCCGGCACTTCAAATAGCTATTTGCAAACTTGATAAGAGTCTCTCCCTTTCAACCTCTATAGAGTATGATTAAAACAGCCTGCTGTCAAAATGACAAATAGCAAATACCTATAATCATGTTAAGTGCTAGAATGAAATGTGATGCAATTTCAGTGGGTTTGTCACAAATAAGTTACTTCTAAAGTAATTGCAAACATATTCAGCTAAAAGATTCGCGTAGTTCTTTCGGCCCTAAGCTCTGCAAATGATGTGAACAATAGTGCAGTGCCACAGCCAAATTACTATTGACAACTGATTGATGGAAGTACAGCACTGCTGCCTTGTTTCAATTAACCTGGGTTCATATCCTTTTTATCTGTGATGATCACAAATATGTATAAAATCATGGCTGTTTATATGCTTTTATTTACTTTATATTTTTTAATTTTAAAAGTACAAGAAAGCGCTTAGTTTGCAATAAAATAGTTGTTGAGCTGTATATATTTAAAATTTAAGTTCAACTTAAAAAATAAATCAAGTGAATCGTAGCGGTAAGTGTAGGTTACCTTCGGTGTGATGGGCCTAGTGCGGCTCTGTTCACGGAGCAGGTTCATGACGTGCGTGGTGAACTCGTTGCAGGCGTTCTCGTATTTGTCCAACTCCTGGTGGTAGATCTGGCGGATCTGCGCGAGCTTGGCGCGGTAGTCAGAGTGCTCGATCGCGTTATCTGCTTGGGCCACAGTGCCTTAAGTTGCGGCGAACGGGGCAGAAACAAATAACATGCAACCTCAACCACCTAATCACCGCATTCAATTAGTTAGTGCAGTTTATTATTTTGGACTATCTTAATTTGTAATTTTCATAGCAATATTTAGTAATTACTATACAATGGAAGTTTTTGCATTTCTCAAAGCCTTTAACTTAAAGCTATAAGTTGTTTAGGTACTTGTATCAATGCGCTTTAAAATTATAAATCTTGCACTAATTTAATAAAATGTATGCTTAGTATAAAAATATGGATTAGAACATGATAACTATCCCAAGTTTTTATTACTACATAACTTTTTTCATTGTTTCTGTATTTGTGGTTAAATACTACATCAAAATCAACATTATCATGCTTATTATGTATAACCCTTCTTCTGGTGCAATCAAGTCATTATCAAACTAAAAATGCAGAAAGCATAATTAATACAAAACATGCACATGACAAATTAACAAGAAAGTTAGTCTCTTGTAAAAATATAGAATTCTAATTCACAGAATATTTTTTTGTACTGTTATATTAGCTTAATGCATACAACACACAAAACAAAAATATATAAACAATAGAAACCACAATTTCTAAAGAGCATGCTCAGTATATAAATTTAAAATTATCGTAAATGAAATAAATTAAGTAATTTCATTTTAAGAATTTATATTGAATCACTGATACTGGACCGGGAATGAAACAAAAACATCATAAAGTGAAATCTTCTAAGTTTCCCAAGACCATAGTAAAAACAACTTATAAATGCTGCTTTTACTGGCAATTTCAGGAAATTCATTAGGCAATACCCTGGCAATTTATTATTAGATAAATAACATCACCAACAGCTCCATTGGCAGAAATTACATTGTTTGTTGATATGTGGCTATAGATGTGTGATTTGTTCAGAAATTCTTCACTTATAATGTTCTTGAATTAAAAAAAAAACAATAAAATTTGTAAATATTCTCAAATTATATTGAGTTAGCTGAATTCAGAAATAATACTAAATATAAATATTCAACACTGTCATAGATAGAATATTTTTATAGTCAAGAGTGTCAAGTAAAGAGTTAAGAGTAAATTGATATTGTTTAATATTTAAGAGATTTTGTAATGATCTTCAAAAGCTAATTACCCCATTCCCCTGCAGCGGCAGAGGCTGACGCCGCGGCCCCGGCTCCACCGCCCTTCTCCGGTCCTGCGACACCCTCGGCGATCAGCATGTTGTCCAGGCGCATCAGCTGCGGGTCTGGAGGCTCCTCCTCTTGCGTATTACGAAGTGACAGAACTGGAGAAATATAACAACCGTGTCAATAAATACAAATGAATCTTTGATGTATCTATTATCCTTTTTAGTATAAAAATATTTTATTATATGTTAAAAACAAACCGAAACTCTTACCAGTTTTCTCTTTGATTTCACACAACACAGAAAATAGGGCAGGCTTCATTCTGTGACAATTCAATGTATGCTTTCTCGCTTGTGCTTCGTCGAGACTCTGGTCTGTTATATTCATGATTTGTTGAAGAATTTCGCCAATATCTTGTTTACGTGCTTCTCCCTCGCCCGCTGTTGGAGCGCCTTCTCCTCCCGGGAGTCCATAACCCTGTGGCCCCATCAGACCACCGCTGTGCGCCATCATTCTATTCGGATCGTCCATGATTTAGCACTCAATACATATAACACTTTAGAATTACACTAGTTACGTATACAGTTTTGTACAATGTTATTTAATTACACTAGAGTTCATTAGCCCATTTAATATTTTGAACAAAACTACACAGTGGGTGAATAGCCACAGCTTTTCCAGCTAGCAATAAAATGGCCGACTCCTTTGTGCTGTCAAAATTGAGATATGAATATGAAGGAAAAAAGAAAACAAATACTTAAAAATATATATCTATTTCACTCTAACAACTGAAATAAAAAGAGATGAGAGAGGAGAGCACGAATATTGTTCTTTTAAATCATTTGTTTGGGAATGTAACTCCAAACAGCCAAAATTATTGAAAATGTTGTATGTTGTTTTTCTTCAACCATAAATTTTTTTTTGATCCTTTATATTTATTATCAATATAATATAATCTGAGTTTTTTATCATTCATAGGACCTACTAGGACCCTAGGCCATTATCGATAATTCTTCGTCCATGATTCTGACAAATAATGTGTTCTCTATGATACCGACACGACATTGACAGTCAAATTACATGAGGAGTTTTTGGCGCGCTTTCATCGAGTGCGGTTCATAGTGGATCTTGTGAAATAAAATCCTATCCGATCCGATTAAAAGACAACCTCCGTGGCCTAGTGGCTTGTACGCCATGAAATCCGTTTATGGTGTCGCCGACTCGAGAGGTCCTGGGTTCGAATCCCGGTGGGGCCACATGTTTGTGTATTCATCGAGCATTTGTACTCCAGTCATGGATGTTTAATATGTATTTCAATGTGAATATCCATATATATGTATCCGATGCCCTAGTATCCCATAACACAAGCCTTACAGTGCTTACTTTGGGGCTAGGACAATTGGTGTGTGTTGTAAATATTTATTTATTTAAAAGTGTAATTTTGTGTTTTAATCGCATGCGCAACAGAAGAATTAACAGAATCTTTAAAATATTTTAGTCAAGTTTATTGTAGTGCTGACTACCTCACAGAAGCTTGTCGAGAAAGCTGATATTTTATGCCAAACACTCCGAGAAATATTGGAATGCGTCACACCCATATTCTAATCTAAATAAAAAAAAAGAATATTAATACAAACATAAGACGATGGATGCATGGCTTTGACTTTGCCTTTCCCAATAGGTAAGATTAGAATTTAAAAAAAAATCTGTAAACTTTTGACAGCTGGCTCTACGTATGGGAAACTTTCATGTGTCGTCAGCTCCACGCGATCAATTTCGTTCTATTGTTTTAAATAGCCGGTAAGCAGATGTAATCAACCAGCTGTTAACAAATACATATTTAAATGAGATTTATTCTTTCCTTAGTGCACAAGTGTAGTGTATTTAATAGCTTCCTACCAACCACTCTAATACAAGCCAGATATTCTCACGACCATCAGTATTGGGGCAGTAATAAACTTCACAGAAAAATCAAAATCCCTAACCCATTGAGAGAAATCATCATGGCAGATCCCAAGATTGAAGAAATTTTAGCGCCACTGCGTGCTAATGTTAAAGAACAGGGTGATTTAGTTAGAAAACTTAAAGATGAGAAAGCTCCAGAAATTGATATTAAAAAAGCTGTTGCTGAATTAAAAGCTAGAAAGAAAGTTTTAGAAGATAAGGAACTAAGTCTGGCTCCAGCTGAAGAACTATTTGACCGTGCAAAAATGGAAGACTTAATCAAAAGGCGATTTTTCTATGATCAATCTTTTGCTATTTACGGCGGTATAACTGGTCAATTTGATTTTGGTCCAATGGGATGTGCACTTAAAAGTAACATGATTCAGCTGTGGAGGAAATATTTTATTCTTCAAGAACAAATGCTGGAAGTAGATTGTTCAATTTTAACACCCGAACCTGTTCTCAAAGCTTCTGGACATGTTGAAAGATTTGCTGACCTTATGACTAAAGATACTAAAACTGGTGAATGCTTTAGATTAGACCACTTAATAAAAGCTCACCTAGAAAAGATAAAAAGTGAAAAGAACACTAAATCAGAGTTAAAAGCTGAAATTGAGGACATACTGGTAAGATTGGATGGCATGACTGCTGATGATATGTCCGGCTTAATGAAGAGGTTTGATATGAAGTCTCCCATCAACAACAATGAACTCACACCACCAATTGAATTCAACCTCATGTTTAACACACAGATTGGACCTACAGGACTTGTAAAAGGTTTCCTGAGGCCTGAAACTGCTCAGGGAATATTCGTGAACTTTAAGCGTTTACTTGAATTCAACCAAGGCAGATTGCCTTTTGCAGCAGCACAAATTGGAAATTCATTTAGAAATGAAATCTCTCCTCGATCTGGTTTACTACGTGTCAGAGAGTTCACTATGTGTGAAATTGAACATTTTTGTGATTCTAAGGACCATCCAAAGTTTGAATCTGTTAAGAACACAAAGATGTTGCTTTACTCTGCTAATAACCAAGAACAAGGAAAAGCTGCTGAGGTTGTTACTATAGGGGAAGCTGTTGCCAATGGCACTGTGAACAATGAGACATTGGGCTATTTTATGGCCAGGATACATCTTTATCTTTTGGCAGTTGGTATTGATCCTAACAAGCTTAGATTCAGACAGCACATGGGTAATGAGATGGCTCATTATGCTTGTGACTGCTGGGATGCTGAATGCTTATCAAGTTATGGTTGGATTGAGTGTGTCGGCTGCGCAGACAGGTCAGCTTATGACTTAACACAACATACCAAAGCTACAGGTATCAGACTTGCTGCAGAAAAAAAGCTTCCTGCACCAAAACAAATTGAAGTTGTAGAAGCAGTTGCTAACAAGGCTGCAATTGGTAAGGAATTCAAAAAAGACGCTAAAGCTATCAATGATACCTTGGCAGCTTTGGACACTGCTGCATTGAATCAGTTGCAAAACAGTTTGGAAAATAATGGCGAATATACTTTGTCTACTCCCAATGGAGAATTTAAATTGACTGCAAATCTGGTGAGTGTAAAAAAAACTCAGAAAACAGTACATGTGGAGGAGATAATACCAAGTGTTATTGAACCATCATTTGGAATTGGCAGAATTTTGTACTGTATACTTGAACACAACTTCAAAATGAGGGAAGGTGATGAACAAAGAACTTATTTTTCATTGCCTCCATCTGTGGCACCCATGAAATGTGCTGTTTTACCCCTTAGCGGTAATGCTGAATTCCAACCATTTGTCCGTGAACTATCACAGGAGCTGATTGAAGTTGATGTTTCACATAAGGTTGATGACTCCTCGGGCTCTATTGGTCGTCGTTACGCCAGAACAGATGAGCTTGGTGTACCTTATGCGGTGACTGTTGACTTTGACACAATAAAGGAACCACATACCGTAACATTAAGAGAGAGAGATAGTATGGGCCAGGTTCGATTGTTGATGTCGGAAGTGCCTTCAGTAGTAAGAGATCTTTCCAAGAATAAACTATCTTGGGCTGATGTAGAGAAAAAGTATCCCAAGTTTGAACAGCAAGAAAATGTAAAAGGTGCAGCTGCATAAAGCCAGGAAGGATTTGTTGCTAAATATATGCAGTGACTTTTATAAAATAAATTATTTATTTATTGTGCTAAATCATTACAGATTGCAAATATCTTGTAAAATCCTTTTTTTTTTGCATAAAGAGCTTGAAATATCTAGTTTTGATTTATTTATTAACTACCACAACTCGGGCTTTTACACATAAAGGTTTACGCGTACATTATGTAGTGCTGCATACATCGCTCGCTCGCATAGGACGGATCGCTGGGACTACAACTGGAGTCTATTTTTTTAAAATTAAAATTTGATCTTTGTTGTCCTGTGGTGTTCACAATAATCGGTGGAGAGCTTTTGATTAATTAATGTAGGAATATAGCTATACAACCAAGAAAAGGTAATTATTCGACAGAGCCATCCATATCACACTGCATGGACGTCTGGCAGTACACTGTACCCAAAATCCGTCATGCTAAGTAAGCATGTCGCATTGCGCTGCGGCCCGACATAATGTGCACGTACCTTTAGGGTGCTTGATATCGAGAGGATTCTTTTCGCGTTAAGGCACGTAACGCAATTTGACTTCTTTATTACTAGCAGTTAAATATTGCATAATCTTATCATTACATTGCGGTGATGCATCATTCGCAATAAAAACAAGAACTGAACGTGACATAATTGCGTAATAGCATTTTGAAATTTGATTTTTAAGAAACCGAGCTAAAAGTGAGTCTTAGATCCTACTAATATAATAAATATGAGTTTGCATAATTCTTGAGTCATAGACGCAACAACGGCTGAACGGATTTTAATGAAATTTGGCTTTTTGTCCCGTAAAAATGTTAGGTACCGAGTTGGGGATTTCATAAATACTCCCTTTTTACTCAAATAGCACAACAACACCACAGGCTCAACTGAGACCATGGATATTCAATAAACAGGATAATTATTAATAAAACAAGTCATAAACGGTAGATATTATTATTTCTCAAAGACACAGATCAACATTGGACGAACGTCAATGTGTTCATTATCTGTAGCGGCGGTCCCTAGAGCGCGAGCGGTGGCGGACGCGGTCGCGGGAGCGCGAGCGGTGTCGCGGCCGGTCTCGCCTCTCGCGGTCGCGGTCGCGGTCACGGTCACGGTCGCGATCTCTGTCGCGCTCGCGCCGGTCGCGATCTCTATCTCTGTCGTCGCGCTTCATCCGATCTTTTGAGTACCTAAAAATGCAAATTACATTATCCCCTGACGATACTAAATGCAACAACAACAAAATCGTGGCCGAAACCTGCCCAAAAGGTAGATTGGACGATCCACGGAGCTCCGTGGGAGGCGTTGTCAAAAACGATATAATATGGCATTATTTAAATATTCAAAGTCACCTTTAATGCAAAGCTTAAAAGGTCTTAATATAAACGCATGCGTCAAACAGTTACTGTTACTACAGTTCAAAATGCAAGCTCGTAAAATTTTACGACTTGTTGGTATAGGCAGAACAATATAGACTTTATTTATTTTACTCTACGCGTAATTTTGAATGCGGTGTTAACAATATAGCAGGTACGCCGCGTGAGGAAAAGAGACGGCTATATAACCGACCATGCATTGAAATATCACAAATAATTTCTATTAAATCAGTTTATTGTAAGTATTAAAACAAAATTTTCTTCAAATGCGTGAACAAACATTGAAGAGGTACCTGTCGAAAAACGACTATGGATAATAAGTTTTTTTTTCATCATTTTTTCACGGCATGGTGAATTTTCAACGGTCCGCGCGTAATTGTGAACCAAGAAGTGCTTGAGTGGAGTTCAAGCACTTCTTGATTGTTTTTAATATCGTTGTCATCCAGTGATAAAGTTTATAAAAAAAACGAGCGAGCCTTACAGTAGTCGCATATGATGTGTAACATTTGAAACCTCACCTTATATTAGTAAAAAAAAGAAATAAAACCTACTACAAAAAGAATAAGCCATTTGAACATTGTTCTAAAATCAAATAGCGCGCGCTTTCGCCACTTCCTGTTACACACTTCCGTCCCATTTCACGAAATCACTCCCACAAATTGCAGGAAAACGAGAGGATTCAACACATCAACAATACATTACGACTGAAACAAGATATTTGGGAAAACCATAGAATTGCTGATGTTGCTCAGCAACTGTCTTATAATAATATGTAAAGCCTCGAATAAATTAGAAGACAAAATGACCGTGTCGCCGTAGTCCCGCCTGTCGAGGTCATCGTGGTCGCGGCGGTGTATGGTGTGGTCGCAGCCTACCTATCAGTGTCGCCGTAGTCCCGCTTGTCGCGGTCGTCGTGGTCGCAGCTTACCTATCCGTGTCGCCGTAGTCCCGCTTGTCGCGGTCGGCGTGGTCGCAGCTTACCTATCCGTGTCGCCGTAGTCCCGCTTGTCGCGGTCGGCGTGGTCGCAGCTTACCTATCCGTGTCGCCGTAGTCCCGCTTGTCGCGGTCGGCGTGGTCGCAGCTTACCTATCCGTGTCGCCGTAGTCCCGCTTGTCGCGGTCGTCGTGGTCGCAGCCTACCTATCCGTGTCGCCGTAGTCCCGCTTGTCGCGGTCGTCGTGGTCGCAGCTAACCTATTCGTGTCGCCGTAGTCCCGCTTGTCGTGGTCGCAGCCTACTTATCCGTGTCGCCGTAGTCCCGCTTGTCGCGGTCGTCGTGGTCGTAGCCTACCTATCTGTGTCACCGTAGTCCCGCTTGTCGCGGTCGTCGTGGTCGCAGCCTACCTATCCGTGTCGCCGTAGTCCCGCTTGTCGCGGTCGCAGCCTACCTATCTGTGTCGCCGTAGTCCCGCTTGTCGCGGTCGTCGTGGTCGCGGCGGTCGGCCTCCATGCGGCCGGGGTTGTAGCTGCTGGCGCTGCCGCCACTATTGCCGCCGCTGTTACCGCCGCGAAAGTTACCCGCCGGCTTTGACGCTGCTGTCTGTCTGCTGTGTTCCGCTAATCTGCGTAGGAAAACGTTTTGGCAGTTGATAGATTATAATACCTGTGGCAACGAATTAGAAATAATTTAGAATACGAACTGCGCTAAAAAGTGGTTCCACAAACAATGCGATCAAGTGGGCGGGGCGAAAAATGCAATCAAAACAGCAATCATTGGATGAGCTGGGATTTCCGTTTAACATTATCTTATCCTATGAATGGATAGCCGAATTCATTTGCAGATATTTGATTTGTCGATATATTCTGTTTTGTTTGAGCATGAGTCGCGTTAGTATTGAAGTAAAGTTTTATAAGTTTAAAACTGGTTTTAGCGGCCTTTGTTAGAGAGTTATGCTTTCATATTATTTCTAATAAGCAATGATAACCTGGTAACCTAGAAAAAGAAGAGGATGAGAAGCTCCTATTTCGAAAAATAGAAATAATTTCTGCAGGTTGTTCTATACTATATGCGAGTATTATAGATATATATTCCCATAACTTACAGTTTATTCCTTAAATGACTGCGAAATTAACAATTTTGAAAAATTACATTTAATTCATTTGATGAATTACTTTTCACCATTATGAATTAAATGTCATCATGAACATCAAAATAAATTCATTCCACAAGACTTGGAACTATTAATAATAAATCTAAGACTAAAGACTAGAAAAAAAAACAGCAAAATTCTTAAAAAGAAAAATAGTTAATGCTGCAAAAAACAAAAACTGCACCTACTTCTGTTCGATCTGCTTCTGTATAGGGACCGGTATCCTCGGAAACAGCGTGGTGAACCAGTCAAGTTTGACGAGCATCTGTCGCACGAGTGCGCCCATCGTGGTGGGGCCGCCTCCGCCCGCACGCGGGTCGACCTCCTCCTCGTCCTCCAGGTACTCCGCGTACCAGTCAAACAAGTCCGCGGGCGGCTGTGTGTATCTGATGTACATGAAACCTGCAGGGGGAACACTAATATGAGTCTTTACTCTATAGGTCACGAAACTAGCGCTGACAACAAGTAACAATTAAGATGTCTTGGGGGGAAACGAGGTGCGCGGGCGGGCGTGCGTTGCGCCGATTGGCTCTCCAGTCGTACCCATGCGCAACTATCCCCTCCGCGTTTTGTTCAGCGCTAGAGTTACGTGCCGCGACTTGTACGAATGTATAGAAAAACAAACTGTTTTAGATAGAAGATTGTATAGGCTCATGAAAAAACAAAGAGGATACTGGCCTCTCTTTATTAATGAATATCTTAAAAATAACTCGAATTTAAATCTGATTAAAATTTTACTAGTGAAATCCACAAAAGCTTGGTAAAACCAAGGAAATAAGTACGTGCTAAGGGAGACACGAGGCACGGCGCGCCGTGAAGCGGCAGTCAGCACTGTTAATGAAAGAGTACAAGTAGTTTTTACTTAATATTATATGCAAACTAAAAAATGCCATATTGCAACTGCACAAGATGATGATGATGAAGATGAGACCAACGCTTACTGACTGCTGATCCAGTTAAAATACATAGTACAATGCATTGTTATTTTACATATAAAAGAAAACTAAAGGATTTTTAATGCAGGGTTCTCCAAATTACAAATGGATACATACAAGGTTTATGGTAATAATAATAGTACTGTGCAGTGAGAATTATTATTCACGTCTCACACGGCAACAGCCGCTGTGCGCGTTGTAGCTATGAGTTCCGAACAACTCATAGTCAACGAGTTGTTGGTGTTTATCCAAAACGCCATTGTCTCTATGGACGAGGTCAGCATCCTGCAGATCTGCAAATTGAACTTCAAGGAGGATGGGGTATGCAGTGGCAAGATGCTGTTGTTCCAATCTGTCAGTAAGGCCGACAAGATGCCATCACGACGGAGGGATGGTACTGAGAAGAGTATGCAGGTCATTATCACCCTGCTAAAGGAAACCGATCCGGACCACGTGCCTACATTCGTGGCGAAAGAGCTGCACAAGCTGCCCCCCGTCACTTTCGACCACGTCGACGTCACCAAGCTGCTGAAGGACATCAACTTGCTGAAAGCGACTCTGGCCAATGTAATGAGCCAGTTAGAGGGCTCAAAGTACTCAAACAACACCATCGTTGAATTGCGTGCTAAGGCCTCGAACCCGAGGCCTCTAACGTGAACAAAACGTGAACGTCGCGGGGTGCTCCATGCATCCGTCGGCAGTATTGAGTCGGTGCCTAAGGGTGCGTTAGTGACCGCCACCCGCGCCTGTGCCTCGCCGGACATTTCACGCGCATGAACGTCCACACCACAACGTGCTTACGCTGTTGCTGCCGCCAGTCGGCCTACTGATGTTCAAACAAAAGAGAAGAGTAGCAAACTCTGCGTCAAATGTGCTACTTTGGCAGTGTCACAAAATTAGATTTGCGACGAAGAGGGCTTTATCAAGGTGAAAAGGAAGAGGAAGCCTGCTCGCCGCAATTTGTGTGGTGTTGCCCCAAACGGAATACTTGCTGCGTCCTGCAATACCGACGACGCCGATGTACGTGTCCCGACTGCATTACTCTAATGCAGGAAGAGCAGATTAAATTGTATCTGCGATTAAATACTAAGTTCTCCCTGACAGTCGCATGGTTGGAATCCTGTCACAATGTGAATTTTATTTCTTTTGTGGTGAGGGTGCCAACCGAACATCTGGGTACTTTCATGAAAGAAAATCTTTGGCCAAAAGGTGTTGTGTTCCGGTGATTCCGAAGCTGGTTACTTGACACCACTATGCATAACCATCTATATATGTTAATTAGGTGTTTACTAACATAATTAATAATTTTATTAAGTAACAATTATATTTTATATCTGTATATATGTTGGACTAAGGTAGCCTGATCATAGACAAATAAATAAATAAAAAATAATATACTGGTACTATTATTAACAGATAAATACTTTATTATGATATTCTGCATATTATCCCTATAAGAGCTAATTAAGAACATCATACCTACCAAGAGCTCTGATGTATGGTGAATCAGTATGCTGAAGAAGGCCATTGACTTGCTTACGAGTGAGGCGGAGTGTATACAGCTTGTACAGCAAGCAAAATGCTGTGGAGACTATACCACCAGCACCCACACCCCGTACCTGTACATGTACGAGACAAGAACATCATTGATCAAGTAAACTATAGCTACAAGATATTATCAATGTAAGTAAATGATTAAAATGTTGATTAACATACTCACGCCGCCACACATGCCAGTCTGACCAGCGGTCTTGCGACTGCCGCGTTCCCATGGCTCTAAGTGCTTCACCTGGTAATAAATCTCGTCCACGACTTCATGGTATGTCTTCAACTTGAATAAGTGCACTGTGGACAATCAAAAAAGGTGTAAGCAATAAAAACAGGGTCTATGTATGTTTGTATTACATTCGGTTGAAAATAAAGAATAAAGAAATAAAAGATGAAGTGTTTAATCCAATCTCCTGTGTTTTTTTACGTTTGCTTACCTACCTTTGAAGTAGCTAGAACCTTGAATATTTGCTAAGATTAAAGGGTTCAGATTCATAGTTTGTTCATTACCCCATATTGGTAATATATTGTGCTGTTTGCTCGTTTTTACAGGTTTCTGTTGATTGAATTCTGAAAAATAAAGCTGCTTGGTAACAATATTCAACAAGATCATAAGCCTAACGGGAACAATTAGTACCTTCGACTTCAGACATTATTAATCTAAGCACATATAACAACGAAAACAATTATTTGTTAAGTAGGTATCATACAAATATTTCCGTAAATAATCCGTACGCTAGCACTTTAACACAGCAAAACAGAACCACTAAAAATTGCTACGGCGGCCATTAGCAATACACACACAGACTAGTGAAGGGGTGACCAACCGTTTTGGATCGATGGATAGGCAATGCGAAAAATAGATTTATTTTTTCAAATATATTTAATAGGGTACGATTTTATTGTGCCCACACTTTCGCTTCTGGTTGATTATTCTATGACGCATACGCATAATTTCAGTAAATTAGAAATAAAACCATGCCAAAAAAATAAATATAATATTATTTTATATATTTACGTGTGAAATAATATTCCTCTATTATTATTTATTTTCGAACCATAGTTTATACATTTTCTGAACACGCAAATTTGCATCATTTTATTTATTGTTATATATAAAACAAAAGTTTGATAGTCACGGGTTCGCACAGGCTACGAAAGGCAGCCATTTTATTGAAGTCAATAAGGGCTAGATGTTTTAATACACGTTATTTTCTACCTTACTGTGCTATTTATTCATAAATATAACAAGTACAATGTAACCACTGCAATTTTGGGTAAAACTCTGCTAAAATTGTATTTTAGCAGAGTTTTACCCAAAATTCAACAAAATGTTAAAATTTGGTGTGCCAATCTTTGGTATAATCTCTAGTAAGGGAGTACAATCATTGGCACCTATGTTTATCACTGAAAAGTATTATAGTTTTTTGCTTTCCAATTTTGGAACGAAGTTCCATTGCATTTTGGCAGATGAGAGTAGGCGAAAATTTACCATTACCCAAGGGCGGATCCAGGGGGGGGGGTCATGACCCCCCCCCCCTGGGCTGGGTACAGATGGACCAAACCCAGGGGGATTTTTTCAAGTACTTTCAATATTTAATATACCACGACTATATGACCCCCCCCTGGCGCCAAAGCTGGATCCGCCCTTGCCATTACCCAACCTAACTAGGCAACTGGGAGGCTAGCTATATGGGAAGTGAGGTAAAAGACTACTGACGGCGCTGCGCAGATTGTGGTTCAAATTTTGTTTTTGGTGAGTGATGGAACGGGTGCGTGTGCGATAGACCAGGAGTGGTAGCGATGAACCAGGAGCGATAGTGATGGACCGGGTGCGTTCGCATTTGGCCCATTGCGCACTGGGTCTATTCGGCTCTGAACCTATATTCAGCAGTAGGCCCATTCCGCACTAGGTCCAGAGTGAATAAGTGGGTGGTATGTAAATATTTTTGGCACATCTATTCCAAAAGAGCTAGTTTGTTCTCTGTTTACAGAGACTATAATAACGTTTTAATTCCTTGGGACCAAAATAGCGTTTCAATCCTTAGGGACCAAAATAGTTAAATCACTAGGGATCTAATGTGATTTGGATTTTATAATCTAAATAATTTGTAATCGAAATCACGAACATTTTATGAACAAGTTACAACGTAGGTAAATAGAATACTCATAAGTTCATATATATAAGTTATTTACGAGATTGTTAATACCTACCTTGTTTTTTGCGAGTTTCCGATATTTCGAAAAAAGGAAAGATGGGTCTGTACATGTATCTTAAGTAAATGAGAAGTTCGCTTTCTATATGCTCTATTTGGGGAGTATTGCTACCATGACGCCAGCTCCTAAGGTTAATTATAAGCCGTTTTCTACATCTCTGTTCCCTTATGAAATTTTGCAGTGTGGGAACTATTTTCTGTGATGGTTGCATAATAGCAAGCCGTTTTCGAGATTGCCTTGGTGTACGCTACCTTACTCGACGCGCCAGCGTACACCATGTAAACAGTTATTAATTCCTAAAGAGGAAGATTTTTGAAGTTATACTTCTTTAGCCGCGTTATGAAAAAATTATGAGAGTGAAATTTTCATCACTGTAACACAAAATTTTAACATAATGAAGTTAGCCGCGGGCGCGTTATTTGTAATATTTTATTTTCCAAGTAACAGTGGGGCAGATTTGAATGAAATGAAATTTATTCAGTCTAGGCTGTTACAAGCACTTGTGAAGGTCAAGAACACAACGTGTTTTAGTTACTTACAAGTGCTAATTACATATGGACTAATAACTTAAATTCAGTAGTGATTTTAATTGAATATTTTGAATATTTATTTAATTTTTCAAATTAAAACTGAACTTAATTGACTGTGTTAACTATCCTTTTCCAGTCCTCTTATTATTTTATTGTAATTATTAATTATTTGCATGCAATTAAAAAATATTTTAATGATGCTAAAGAAGTATAACTTCTCACGCGCGTACATAAGTTACACGCATCCATTTTTTTTTTATTATTGCACTTATTAAGCACTATTAACTACCATAAATAACAACCTCGAATTCGATGTTGAGTACGCTAGCATGTCGGACACGAATATGCCTACGATTTAGAATTTTCGATAAATCTGATGGGATCGGAAGGTGTATAGCCACTTTAAGGACAGACTGTTGTCAAGTTTAGAAATGGCCAAGTGAAGTGCCGGCATATTATATATGCGAAAACTGCGAGTTTGTATCAATGTTTGTAAAGCTAGTAATATGTACATACATCTATGATACAAATGCAGACAGCATTTGTATTGTACCATGCAGTGATAAAGATTCTTTTTATGGAGGTCATAAAATCTTTATAATGAGCAGTATCATGTAAATAATAGAATATGATTGTTTTTGAAACTATCTCAAATTGTAATGCAGGCAGATGATCAATGATGCTGACATAGGCATTCTGCCATTGATTAATTATCGTCCTGCAAAAATAAAAAACAAGGAATAAACTTACAAATATACACATTTACTTTAATGATAAAAAGTTTATTGATAGTAGAGCTCCAGATTCATGCCGTCATGGATTTCATCTGAAAATTATAATGTAAGGAATTATGAAAAAAAATATTGCACCATAGTGCTTGCTAGCAGTAATGTCCAATTTTTTAAATTGATTGAATGAGAATAAAACTCTGACCCCCTTAACCACAACGCATGGAGTTAAGTTGGACTCCGTATTAACCTTATGCTGTCTTCTTTTTAGCAAACTAAACGTGAACTAATTATTATTAAACTGAGTTAAACTTGAGTCCATATTTTGAAATAAGGTAATGTATACTGTTGCATGTACTGGTGATTCAAGGCTTAATGTCACCTTCACACGTACATCACAAAAATACAGTGTGTTAAAACAATAGCAAAAATTTTAACTGATTTTGATGATTGATACAACTATTTATTATACACAAAGTTAGATTTAGATTCCTTTATGTTACTTTGAATTTTATTAAGTTTCATACAAGTGTTGTATGCACAGTATGCATGAGAAATTCTCATATTTTTTTTGTTAGGATCTATTTATATTCACATAGTATTCCAGCTACTTTATTACATAGAACATATGTCTATATTTTTCACATGGAAATAGACTTTATAGTAATGAGTCATTAGAAAATGGTTGATTTCAACAAAATTATTACAGTATTTCTCAAACTGACAAATTTGAAAAGGATACAATCTGATAATTTGATATGGTCCTTGAAAACAGTGTACCATTTTTTCAACACTATTTTATCATATCGAGTGCCTGTTTGTGCTGCAATCAACTTTTTTAAATCGCCAACAGTGTCGTCAGGGTTGCATTTTACCCGGACTTTCTTACCAAGACGATCATTACAAGTTACTTCTAACATTTTGTTCTGCAAACAAAGGGGTTATTTAAAGAATGCGCAAATAGTAATAAAATTAGCTCTCCTATAAAATCACTTTAAATACTTGTCTGTTCTTCGTTTGCAATCAGGATGAATAGTTATATTAAAGTATATAATATTGATATTTCAGTGTTGTTTTGCTTCGTAGATCTTGATTATTGTTTTAATTTGTAGCTTTTATTTCGTATTTTACATCAGAACATCAATAAAGTCCCACACAATAACAAGCAAAAAACCAGGTTATTTAATTATCCACAGATAACTAAAATGAATTTCTCTGTCAATGTCATACTCTCATTTAGTGATGTACGGTATTGATTATCAAAAAAGGATTTAGTGATTTGTGTATCTGATTCTGGTTTTACGAATATTATCGATTAAACTTTCAAATGGAAGACATTTGTCTTCCATATAATAAAAAGTGAATTATCATTCTCTGTTTAATTTTTAATCGACATATATTATACAAAGGAACTGCTCGTAGAATAAATTTATAATAACAGTTTATTTGGAAACATACCGTAATATTTCTACGACTAAAAGTATATGGGTCTATGCTGATAACACAATATTTACAAAAATTTTGGATTATTTTGGTTTTCAAGATATTTCCTATTTGAAAAGTTTGTGACACAAAGTACATGAAATAGCGACGGGCACCCATTTCTACTTCGTTTCAAAAAGCAATTTTAGATTTTCGATGTTTTATAATTGATTGCCCTGGTTCGAAGATTTGACTAGGAAGGAGAGAATGTAGAGGGCTTACGTTGCACTGCTTGATTTTGGCTCCCTTTAGATTATTTGGGTTTGTTCACGCCGGTATTGATCACCTAAGTTCGTTCTAGCTTTGTAATTTATCTTGCGTGAATGTAACATTCACTACACACATTGAAAGATAATTCAACTACTTAGTCTTTAATTAAAATTAGTATTGCTATTAAGCAGTTTCACTTTCTCATTTTTTTTGTATTTTATTCTATAAGTGGCGTAAACAATAATAATTGTTTTATAACTATTTAGTATTTGTTTTTTATTAACTCAGGTATCATTTGACAAATAATATAGCATCAATCTTTAACCTTTAATAAACTTACAAGATAAAATATTTGATAAATCATCAATGATGTCGATTCTGGCATGATTCTCTAAAGCTAAACTTAAATTTGACAACAGTGCATCCTTGTCATTCTCTATACATAATGAAAAGAAGAGACTGATGTTAAATTTAGTTTTAAGTTTGGAGAATCACGCTAGAATCGACACCAATAATTAATTTATTTATAAGATAGATAGTTAAATCGAGACATCACTAGTGTAGTTAGTATTCTTCCATAATGGGAAGCCAAAGATCAGTGTGTCCATACAGCCTATTCTTCTGATACATAAATAACGTCATTATATTTCATTGTTTATTAAGTTTCTGTACATATAAGTGCATTACATTGACAAAATATTTCTACCTTCCATACAATATTCTTCTGGCGTTGGTTTTTTCCTCCATAGCTATATTAAATCTAGATGTAACAAAACGTAACTGACAGTTGGTTTAGAAAAACATCCGGTCAAATGATTGTTTTAAAAATTCATATATTTTGTAGGGATCCTTAATTGTTATTATTTATTCATAAATTTTATTTAATTTATTTATATATCAATTTTCTTTAACTTTTAATATCATATACTTTCAAATGATAATGATACTAGGTTTATAGAGGAAGTGTATTCCAAATAACTACACACACGTCATTCGACAGCTAACGTCTGACGTGACAGTGAAACCACTGAGTAAGTAATCACGGTGACTGCAATTTCTTTTGGATCTGTAGTGGAAAGCTAGATAGTGGAATAAAATGCAAATTCCAAATGAATTTGTTTCAACGGCTGAAGATATCGCTGATCAGGTATGTGATTAATAAGAACCAGAAGTTTATAATGGTTTTTGTAGTTTAAAATAAGGTGTACTTTGATTTGTCACGTCACCGAACTTATTTTCTTATTGGCGCACAAAATTTATGGATGTTCTGTTCAATAGTTACAAAAGTTTTTGTTTTTTAAAAGGTTAAGAAATAAAATCCTTTCATAATTTTAGTAGATTATAGACGTAAACTCCCTAATTCACATTCCAAATTTTACTTACTAAGTTTACAGATGTTCACCTTATAACCCACTTATCTCTCTTTGCTTTTTAACTACTTGAATAAATTATATGGTGTTTTTACGGATTTAAGCTTTAATTTACATTAAATTCCAAATATTATTTTAGAATTTAAAAAAGGTTGATAATTAAATCCCTACTTCTAAAATATTAAAAAAAAATCAAACAATAATGACTGTAATGTTTTTCACATTCATTTTGTTAAAAGGCTAAGTCAGTAGAAGAAAAGCAAACCCTAAAAGTATTGATTCTGCTGAATTACACCCATAACAACCACAAATATGTTAAACCTTTTTGATCCAACTTTTGTTGAGTGAATACAACTATCCTGGTTTTCAAGCATTTGTTTTTAAGTTAAAGTTGATTAAAAACAAATTTGGTTATGTTATTAAATTTGTTGTTATAAAATATGTAAAAATAATATTTATTCATTATAATTTTTATTATTTTTAAAGCATGTAACTGCTTGATGTTTAAATCTAAAGAAAATATAACTAGAAAAAATTCCACGCGGACCAGGCAGCAGACGGGACTCGAACCCGCACCCTTCGCAATCCGGGCGAATGCACTGACCAATTATGCTACCGCGGCCCTCACGGACCGCGTCGAAATTCCTTCTAGCTATTCTTAAGCTGCAAGGCAGCGCCATCTCTTCGCATTATAGGTAAACCCACAATGTCAAATGAATACTTTTACAAGTATTAAACATTTGAAAGAAGAAATAGCAATTATAGTTATAATTTTTATTATTTTTAAAGCATGTAACTGCTTGATGTTTAAATCTAAAGAAAATATAACTAGAAAAAATTCCACGCGGACCAGGCAGCAGACGGGACTCGAACCCGCACCCTTCGCAATCCGGGCGAATGCACTGACCAATTATGCTACCGCGGCCCTCACGGACCGCGTCGAAATTCCTTCTAGCTATTCTTAAGCTGCAAGGCAGCGCCATCTCTTCGCATTATAGGTAAACCCACAATGTCAAATGAATACTTTTACAAGTATTAAACATTTGAAAGAAGAAATAGCAATTATAGTTATAATTTTTATTATTTTTAAAGCATGTAACTGCTTGATGTTTAAATCTAAAGAAAATATAACTAGAAAAAATTCCACGCGGACCAGGCAGCAGACGGGACTCGAACCCGCACCCTTCGCAATCCGGGCGAATGCACTGACCAATTATGCTACCGCGGCCCTCACGGACCGCGTCGAAATTCCTTCTAGCTATTCTTAAGCTGCAAGGCAGCGCCATCTCTTCGCATTATAGGTAAACCCACAATGTCAAATGAATACTTTTACAAGTATTAAACATTTGAAAGAAGAAATAGCAATTATAGTTATAATTTTTATTATTTTTAAAGCATGTAACTGCTTGATGTTTAAATCTAAAGAAAATATAACTAGAAAAAATTCCACGCGGACCAGGCAGCAGACGGGACTCGAACCCGCACCCTTCGCAATCCGGGCGAATGCACTGACCAATTATGCTACCGCGGCCCTCACGGACCGCGTCGAAATTCCTTCTAACTATTCTTAAGCTGCAAGGCAGCGCCATCTCTTCGCATTATAGGTAAACCCACAATGTCAAATGAATACTTTTACAAGTATTAAACATTTGAAAGAAGAAATAGCAATTATAGTTATAATTTTTATTATTTTTAAAGCATGTAACTGCTTGATGTTTAAATCTAAAGAAAATATAACTAGAAAAAATTCCACGCGGACCAGGCAGCAGACGGGACCTTGCAGCTTAAGAATAGCTAGAAGGAATTTCGACGCGGTCCGTGAGGGCCGCGGTAGCATAATTGGTCAGTGCATTCGCCCGGATTGCGAAGGGTGCGGGTTCGAGTCCCGTCTGCTGCCTGGTCCGCGTGGAATTTTTTCTAGTTATATTTTCTTTAGATTTAAACATCAAGCAGTTACATGCTTTAAAAATAATAAAAATTATAACTATAATTGCTATTTCTTCTTTCAAATGTTTAATACTTGTAAAAGTATTCATTTGACATTGTGGGTTTACCTATAATGCGAAGAGATGGCGCTGCCTTGCAGCTTAAGAATAGCTAGAAGGAATTTCGACGCGGTCCGTGAGGGCCGCGGTAGCATAATTGGTCAGTGCATTCGCCCGGATTGCGAAGGGTGCGGGTTCGAGTCCCGTCTGCTGCCTGGTCCGCGTGGAATTTTTTCTAGTTATATTTTCTTTAGATTTAAACATCAAGCAGTTACATGCTTTAAAAATAATAAAAATTATAACTATAATTGCTATTTCTTCTTTCAAATGTTTAATACTTGTAAAAGTATTCATTTGACATTGTGGGTTTACCTATAATGCGAAGAGATGGCGCTGCCTTGCAGCTTAAGAATAGCTAGAAGGAATTTCGACGCGGTCCGTGAGGGCCGCGGTAGCATAATTGGTCAGTGCATTCGCCCGGATTGCGAAGGGTGCGGGTTCGAGTCCCGTCTGCTGCCTGGTCCGCGTGGAATTTTTTCTAGTTATATTTTCTTTAGATTTAAACATCAAGCAGTTACATGCTTTAAAAATAATAAAAATTATAACTATAATTGCTATTTCTTCTTTCAAATGTTTAATACTTGTAAAAGTATTCATTTGACATTGTGGGTTTACCTATAATGCGAAGAGATGGCGCTGCCTTGCAGCTTAAGAATAGCTAGAAGGAATTTCGACGCGGTCCGTGAGGGCCGCGGTAGCATAATTGGTCAGTGCATTCGCCCGGATTGCGAAGGGTGCGGGTTCGAGTCCCGTCTGCTGCCTGGTCCGCGTGGAATTTTTTCTAGTTATATTTTCTTAATATTTATTCATCAATTTTTAAATTTTATTTATTTATACATTATTAATTGTAAGAGTATGAACATAACATAATAAATACATTTCCAAATTTTGGTCAGGTGATACGCAAAAGCAAGAATGTGTTGCCAACAGTTGCTCGGTTGTGCCTCATATCCACATTCCTGGAGGATGGTCTGCGGATGTGGTTTCAATGGTCAGAGCAACGTGACTATATGGACATGTCTTGGGGATGTGGCAAGTTCCTCGCTACCATGTTTGTGGTAAGTAGTAATATTCCAGTAACATCTCCTTGGATTTTTATTTTATTAGTTAAGGTATATGAAGAGCAGGTCATTTTGATTAATATTGCATAAATGTCTCAATTTCAGCAGTGTAAGTCACGTTTGATAGCACATGTGTGACTGCACTTTACTATATGCACTCATATTGCACCATTTAAATTATCATGCTCTCATGTGACTATTTCTTAACTTATGGTTAGTTAGGTTGAAAAATTATGCATTGTGTTGACTTCAAATTATTCTACTTTTCCTGAGGAATCAAATTCAAAATTAATTTAAACAAAACAAGAACTAAATGCACCCTTGCTTGTGTTTTGTTTACATTAAACCTGTTGTATATCTTAATATTTTTTTTCCCCAATCTTAATTGCCATCAGTCCTTAAGGACTTTAATTAATTTTGTTGCATGCGGAATGACTTTAAGAGAGCAGAGGCCAGTGCCTCTGCTTCCCAGCTAAACAACATTACGTCTTCTGAGTCTGTTAGTTATATTCGACGTATCTAGCAACTCGTTGGCCAGTGGGTTTGGGTGCATGGTTAATCGTTGGGAGTATCGTTCCTTGCAGCCTTGTATTTCTTCTATTATAGTGGGAATATTTAGGTACTCATGGGTTTCGCTGTTTCGTGAGAACCATGGTGCGTTTGCTATACTTCGAAGAGTTCTGTTTTGAGCTCTGTGAAGGCTTAAATAACATATGAAATGTTTTTATTTTTTCAGATTATTAATTTAGTTGGCCAACTTGGAGGGTGCGTCATGGTATTAGGAAGATTAAAAGTTGACATTGCCTGTGGAATACTCTTCTTCATAGTAGTTTTACAGGTACCTAATATTATTATATTTTGTAGGAAACATAATTTCTTTGGCATTTCATTTCATAAGCCAGCCATTGAACACAGGGTATTCATTAAATATCAGCACCCAATGAAATGGGTTAAGTTATTGAGATGAGTGTAGAACAAGATGACTGAATGTGGTGTAATCATTTAATTAAATAGGATATTGATGAATTTGTGATTTTTGGTTACATCTAACCAACCTAAGATTTTGGCACAATCTTATACTTCCTGAAAGTCTAAATAAATCACACTAATATTAAAAAGGCAAAAGATTGTGAGTGCGTTAGTGTGTATGTTTGTTACTTCTTCACGTCTAAACGGCTGGAGCGATTTTAATAAAATTTGGTATGGAGCTAGCTGACACCCTGGATATACACATAAGCTACGTTTTACTATGGAAAAATATCCCTAATCAACCACAGGTAACACCATGGGGCACAGCTAGTTAAAATATAAATAGGAGTTGCAATCAAAGTCTAGTGAGTAAAAACTATAGAAAATCAAAGATGATATTAAATCCATTAGAGGATTCATCATCTGTTTTAAGTACAATGCGATTTAACTAAGAATTATATTGTGACGACATAGCTGTCAATTCAAACCAGTTGGGTAGAGTGAACAAAAAAGTCTTTAATAAAACTTATTTACCAAGATTAATTGAAAAAAAATATTAGATTTTTTTAACAACATTAACACCAATTAGCCTAGCCCCAAAGTAAGCACTGTAAGGCTTGTGTTATGGGATACTAGGTTAACGGATAGAATACATATATAAGTATATCTATATAGAAAATACATATTAAACAGCCAAGACCGAAGTACAAGTGCTTGTATTCATCACACAAACATCTGTCTCCACCGGGACCTCTCGAGTCGGCGACACCATGAAACCCGGCGTACAAACCACTCGACCACGGAGGTCGTCCTCTATAGATAAACGGCTATAAAGTAAAATATCGATTATTGTAGGTTTTAAACCGACAACTTTATTTAAAATAAAAACGGTCTTATTATTACCTGAATTTATAATAAAACTAAAGTTCCTATATTTCCCTTTTCCAGTACTCATCTTCTATATGTTTTACATGATTTATTTTCTTTTGTTTACAAATGTGCAGTATTTATTATAAGAATAGCTCGGTGAAAAAAAGCTTTTCTAGATTTTTTTGCAAACCATACTTTTCAAGCGACATTTGACAGATGGAGGCCATTGGCTTTCCTATTCTTATTTGAATCGCATAGTTGTATTTAACACTGAGATATTAAGTATTAAAATGTACCTTATTAATGTGTGTGTTGTTAATGTATACTTCTTTACTAATATTATAAAGAGGAAAGATTTGATTGAAAAAACGAAGAAAAGAGGTATCAGGGAATTTGAAATAGTGTTCACTTTTTTACAGACATTTGCGTACAGCATATTGTGGGACATGCAATTCCTACTTCGGAACTTGGCTCTGATCGGCGCGCTACTGCTAGTGTTAGCCGAGGCTCGAGCCGAAGGGCGCAGCCTATTCGCGGGCGTGCCGAGCCTCGGCGAGAACCGGCCCAAGACTTACCTGCAGCTCGCCGGGCGCGTGCTGCTCGCCTTCATGTTCATAACCTTGCTCAGGTTCGAAGTCTCCGTCTTACAGGTAATTTAATAAAACCAATTATTTCTCTTATTTAATTTCTCAATTAAGAAGTATTCGTATTCCATTATAAAAAAAAGAATTTCAGGGGATTGAAATTTCATATGAGAAAGAAGTTTTCTGCTTCAACATTCAAAGTAAGTGCCGTTCTCGAAGTTGTTCAAAAATATGTATACCTCAAACAGACATTGCAGTTAGGTAGAAACAACTTTGAGGACGAGGTGAATAGAAGAATTCAGCTAGGTTGGGCAGCGTTTGGGAAGCTACGTCAAGTTCTGACATCGTCGATCCCACAGTGCTTAAAGACGAAAGTCTTCAATCACCCGGTAATTGTGTGCCCGGGCACAATACATAGAAAAATAGATCATATGTTTATGTAATAAACAAAGGTGCTCTTCATAAAAAAAATTGAGATCCACAAATTGTGATTGCGTGTCAGCAGCAGTGACTTGAAATTGTTTGTACTGTGAACTAAAAATAAATTGTGTTCAAATAATTGCATAGTCATTCTACAGACCCATATGTGTATTTATCAACACAACTCGTAATTCTTTAGCATAGAGCTTTATCATTGTTGTAATTTTGTAAGTAATTTGCGTTTACCTGATTCACCATGACAATGCATTTATGACTATTGTCACCATCGCTCAATATTGTTGTGTGAAAAAATTCAATTTGGAACTGAAATTAAGTTGACACTGGTTAGGTAGCGATATATTCATTGTATTTGTAATAAAGTAAATTTGTCTGTTTCTCTTTCACACCTAAACCGCTTTTGATGAATTTTGGTAAGCGAGACATAAGAAACCTCTTACAAGGGCAATCTTTCGGACACATCTATGGATCCATGTATCATTTTCAGTATTGACGGTCCCTAAAATAAATGTTACATTGAGCAAAGAGTTATTATTACCCACGCAGTATTGAAGCTGATTTATTATTACTTAGCCATATTTTTGTGTGTTTTTAAATTTACAGTTCTTGCATCATAAACATATATTTTTGCTTCAGACGACCGTTGAAACTTATAACACTGAGCGGGCCGATAGATGCGGCAGTATATAAACCAATCAAAAATGAGGACACGAGATATTCTATCCCTCTCGCACTGTATTCTTCATGGGATGCGTGAAATAGTCAAGATGTCTTGCATTGTCATTTTCGGTTGGTTTATAAACTACCGCGTGTGTAAAAGCGGTAAAAATTAGCTTGGCCTTCTCATAGTTTCCTTTTGTCTCTGTCACCAAATTCATCAAAAGCAGTTTCGACTTTCGACTCGTTGTTTCTGTATTATGCCGCAATTACATTCATTAATGTAAGTGTGAGTTATACACAATTATTTTGGTTCTTTCGTATATAATGCGATTCAAATAAGAATAGGAAGGCCAATGACCTCTATCTGTCAAATGTCGTTTGAAAAGTACGGTTTGCAAAAAACCCTTTTTAGCACTCCGCTAATTCAAGAATAAAAACCAAACATTTGTAAACAAACAATAACAAATATTGATAATTAATATCGGTTATTTTTTTTTTCACTTATTGAGCTTTGGTCATGAATGGTTGATAACCTAAATCGTCAACCAAATGGCACTTTAAGCTGCATTCAGAAACTCGATTTCAAACTTTCATTTACATAAAGGATGCATGTTCGTATGTGACCTAGTAATAGTGCATGATTATTCATAACTACTCCGGCGGTAATGCAGAGATGAGCGGAATAGAAGAGCTAGATTCTGATTAATGTTTTTTCTCAGTCTTAATAAATAAATATTATTAAAAATCGGTGGTTTTCTTTTCTCAATCTTAGTAAATAAATGTTATTAAAAAAATCTGATGCTTTTTCTCACTTAATCTTAGTAAATAAGTTTTATTAAATAAAACCTTTTTTTTGCTCACTCTACCTATTTGGTTTGAATTGACAGCTATGACATCACAATATGGCGCCCGGTCCTATTCTTAGTTGAATCGTATTATAGGTTACTTTTCCAGGCGATTGCTCCAATTCGGAAACTCCGCTGTACTGTAGTCAGTCTTGTGTCTAAACGGAACGGGGTTTATTTGCGTCTCTCGTGCCTTAGATCGTGGATTAAAGCCTGGACAGCGTGCTGACGGTGACGGAGGGGTGCCTCACCAGGCTTTCGGCGCTGCCTCTTCGTTGCGTCTAAACGGGATTCACCTGCATCTAACGGGATTTACTCGTGTCTTAGATCGTGCAAGACATCCTGGGCAGCGTGCTGATGGTGCTGGTGACGGTGGGGTACCGCACTAAGCTGTCGGCGCTACTGCTGGTGCTGGTGCTGTCGCTGCTCAACCTCTACCACAATGCGTGGTGGGCGGTGCCCTCGTACAAGCCGCTGAGGGACTTCCTCAAATACGACTTCTTCCAGGTAAACATTTCGATAAAATAAAATTTCTCAAAAAGTCTATTAATGTCCCCACTGCTGGGACACAGGTTTTCCCTATGGATGGAATAGGGAGATTGAGCCATAACCTACTACGCGGGCTCAGTGCGAATTGGTGGGTGCTAAAGACTGCAGATGCAGCCGGGACCAACGACTTAACGTGCCTTCTGAAGCATGGAGGAGCTAAAGATAAAGTTTTGGTCACCCATCCTATGACCGTCCATAGCGGAGGTTGCTTGACATTCACGATCACAGGACGAACGCGGTTTCCATCTGCGCCATTGAGCTTCTTTAAAAGAATATAATATCTTGTTTAATTTATAAAAACTAACCGACGAACAAAAACCACGCAATTTGTCGGACACTACGTTCACCTGTTAAACGCAAATAAATAAATAGTGAAAGGTAGGTAGGATTATCTAATTCGCGTCTCAAATGAGCCTTCACACCCAAACTTTTACGCGCTTTATACTGGTTTTTTCTGGTTCATTGATAAAAGAAAAAATAGGGGAAGAAAATGTTTACTAGAAAACAATTTCACGCGGACCAGTCAGCCAGTCAGTTTTTACGGGTTATATGCACTGAGTTTATTTAACTGATTTATTGATATTAAACTGCTAGTACTATTTATTGATATTAAACGTTTAATTTTTTTTTTTTTTTCACAATCTTACTGACGGACTAAATAGAATTTCGTTACTCCATCATGACCCCTATTAGTAAAGAGCCTCCATTGCGCAGTGGTATTTTTTTTGTTTTGTATACAACGATATTAAATACCCTAGATACAGCAACACGAACAGAATTGTGTCTGAAACCTCTCCAAAAGGTACATTGGACGATCCACGGAGCTCCGTAAGATGATCGCGTAGTCAAAAACAATAAATGGCATTTTTAAACATTAAAAGACACCTTTAATGCATACTCTATAAGGTCTAAATTTAAACACATGCGTCAGAGTTATGACCGTTCGATATGTAAGCTCGTAAAATTTTACGACTTATTGCTATATGCGGAAGAATATACACCTTATTTCTTTGAATTCTGCAATTTGCAATTCTGAATGCGCTGTTAGCAATATAGCGGGTACGGATCGCGAGGAAAAGGAAGGCTTTATTACCGACTATGCATTTGAACATTACATTTTTTTTCAATGAAATCAGTTTATAGTAATTATTATAACAAAATTTGCTTCAATATGCATTGAATTAACAAACATTGATTAAATGCCTATCGAGAAAACGACTTTACGTACTATAAGTATTTTTTTCGAATTTTTTCACGGAGCTCTGCAGCATCTTGACTTTTCAACAGTGCGCGCGTGACTGTGAACCAAGAAGTGCTTGAGTGGTGTTCAAGCACTTCTTGATTGGGGCACATTTAGAGCGCACTTTGTGTATCTAGGGTATTTACGACGACCTCCGTGGTCGAGTGGTTTGTACGCCGGGTTTCATGGTGTCGCCGTCTCGAGAGGTCCCCGGGTTCGAATCCCGGTGGGGCAGATGTTTTATATGTATACCTATATAAATATGCTTATACAGTGAAACCTGGATAAGTGAGAAACCTCTATTATTGAGAGTTGCAATGAGGTCCCGGTTCTTTTCCATTAAATTACCTCTGTTAATGGGACTTTTTGAACCTGGTTAAATGAGATTTGAATTCTAAGACTCTTTCGATATTAACCTCTATAATTGAGACTCTGTAGCTCAATTACCTGTATAAGTGAGACTAATTAATCAGGTTGTAACTCGTTTTGACATGTTTGTTTACATACATTTCGCGTCGTCTTTCGCGCATGCTTTGTTTGTCAGTACTCTAAAAATGGAATAACGGCACATTTCGACCTCTGTAAGCGGGGGTCAATCTCTGCAAATGAAATAACTATAATTTTAAACCTGCTTAATTGGAAAACTGGATTATTGGATACCCTCAATAATTGGTACATATATCTTGGTCCTTTGAGATCCCAATTAACTAGATTTCACTGTATATGTACAGTATATGTATTCTATCCGTTACCCTAGCATCCCATAACACAAGCCTTAAGTCAGAAACATATTAACGTGTCGTGTCGTGGTGCGCCAGAAGCACATCGATTTCATACATTTACTATAGTTAGAGACATATTTACGTGTCGTGTCGTGTCGACGCTCTAACATCTCTATCTCTCTCTAACCCATAATAAATGTATGAAACCGATCCGCCACGTCACGCCACGACACGTTGGCTTTACAGTGCTTACTTTGGGGCTAGGGCTAATTGGTGGGAGTGTTGGAAATATTAATTTATTTAATATCATTGTTTGTATAGTAATACTATATTAATTGTTGGTGTCAACAGACGCTGTCGGTGATCGGCGGCCTCCTGATGATAGTATACTTGGGCCCCGGCGGCGTCAGTATGGACGAGCACAAGAAGCGGTGGTAATTCCATCGCTACCATATCATAGGACACGCTCACCCCTGACATTGTTATATGTGGTGCGAGAGAGACTGTTTGTATCGGAATACGACCGCTGTTTAGCGTGTCGGACTACCTAGTCGGCGGCAGAATTACAATCACTGGCACTGTGCTACCATAACCAAGCTTCCTTTACCGAGTGATTCAGTATTCATGCTCTCACCGGCTCTACGGTTTACAGACCATGACTACATTTCTACGAAATAAACATGTTAATGCTTAATTATATATATATATATTTATTATATTATAGATTGATTATAAATTTGTGCAATTTTTTGTATTTTGTTGCTTGTGTTCGCGTGTTTTATGAATGTTGTATGGCAAAAGGTGAAAAGAGCCGGGACGGCAGTGACACTTAAGACATTTCTATTTTGGTTTCCTAGCAACATTTATTCTGTTTAATTTTAAAACCTGGCAACTCTGAATTTTTCCTTATCATTACGACTGACATCTGAAGAAAGACATTTGATGCAGTTATTGTGAATTCTGACGCTCTGTATATGATTTTATATTGAAATTGCAACATGGGCACGTAGAAAGCCCTCGATATTTGAGTGCAATGAGTTGTGATTGTTTATACTGGTGAGTGTCATGCGTGTCGCTATATGAACGTGTAAATGCGTGACCGTGTCTTAAAATATATGTTTTAGAATGGTGGTAGGATCTGTTGATGGGCGGTCATTGCATCTATGCCTTCATACAATCTTCCAACCCACACAGGTGTGATATTTTCCTAAACGATTGTTATGTATGTTCGCATGTATTATAAGTGACCACACTTGGACTAAGTCGCGCCATGCGACGACTTGTAAGTTTTCTATAATGGCGTTTTAAACAATTTCATTCCGAATCCTTTTCTATACCTGTTGTGATTTAATGTAAATAATTGTATGTATTTTGTACGTCTTAAATGAGAAACTGTGGTTAGAGATTCTGATGTTTGAATGAACTATTGATATCTTTGAAATGTAATTTAAGAAGACGACACGCTCAGCGTGGATGTAGACGTGTATTTTCAAAACTGTTCTTCGTTTTACATGCATGTTTATCATTTCTATGAATATGAAATATCTAAAAGACAAAAATATTTTTATAGTATTTTTTTATTTAATTTCGCCATAGATGTTGGATTCGTAAGCAAAACCAATTTTGTTCTGAATAAAATTTACAAATAACAGTTCGTTTTTATTTCCGAAAGCAGTAACATGCAGTAGGTTAATAGTATAAATAATAATCCATAAAAAGGAAACGATAAGATTTATATAAAAAAAACTGTTTAATATTTTTTTTTTAATAATTCGATAAAATAAACGAAATTTCAACAACTACTACTTATAAATACTTGGAATTTTCGTGTCTACTGTTCCGTGGCTTTGACTTGTTCTTTGTCCTTATCATATATATATTTGAAAACTTTATTCGCTAAATGTCTGTATTTCTCCGCGTGTATACTGTCGGGGAGCGCATATATGGCGGGTTTGCCGCTGTTGATGCACTCCGACATATTCTGGTCGACTTCGAAGCTCTCGATGATGTCCAGTCCCATTTGTTGTGCGCTTTCTTTCGTGGCGTTGCCGAATACGTAGTTCTTGGTGCCGCACGAGGTGCACATCGCGTGCGACATGTTTTCAACCACACCGATTATGGGAACTTTTAATTTTTCGAACATATTCACGCCTCGCTTTGTGACTTGCAATGCCGCCGATTGTGGGGTAGTCACAACCAGCGCGCCTGAGAACAATAAAATGGTTATTATAACACTTTTTTTTTTCTAAAAAGTGAATGAGCAGTTTGATTTCGAAATTAGCTGGTAATATCTGCCATCCCTTTCAAAGGCTTTTTCCATCTGCACAGTAAAGAAAGGAACTAGCATTTTCAATGTTATGTTTATCTCATAGTTCAGAGTAAAGGTTAATTCATAATCGTGCACAAACAAAGCACATCGAAGCGTCATTCAGAAAAGTAACAAAGCAAAATTGATCCTTATCTCTGCCACGCAAAGCACTTATTCCTCCCGAGCTGATAATCAGCGTTGGTCGCGAATTCCGTCGAATACGCGCAAATTCGCGCGTCTTCGCTTTTTAAATCCCTTCTGCACTAAGGGCTTACTCATCAGACAGCCACAATTCTCACTGCTCAATGCGTGTATTATGAATTTGAAAAAAGGGCATTTTCATTTAAGCACGTTTCACTATCACAGCGCCGAAACTTGATGAATTTTAGGTTCTTAGAACACCCCATGGTTTCAGAATCATTTATAGAGAATTCATATCATGGGTGTAGTTAAAGTCTTGTATGCCATTGTTCATGATTAGGTATTAAAACACCTACCCACATTCGTGTTTTAATACCCTTCAATATACAACAGTTGCATAAATAGCTATTATATTATACAATGACAATGGTAAGGTGATATGCAAGTTATCTAGACATACCATCGATGGGCAGGTTCTGTGCGAGTGATAGGTGTGTATCTCCAGTGCCTGGCGGTGTGTCTACAACGAGGCAGTCCAGAGGCCCCCACGCCACGTGTCTCGTCAGACGGTCCAGAGCCTGCATTACCATCAGCCCTCGCCACACTACCGCATTTTCGCCTGACACCAACAACCCCATTGACATACTGATGGAAAGATGATAAAAGGTTAAAGATAAAATTATTTTTGTGATAACGCAATTACAACAACAGTTGCTGATAAAATACTATATGAAAATATATTATTGAGTATAAATTTTTAAGCTAATAGCATGGGCTAGGAAAAATATTTTTTTTAGAAAGACTGGAGTGTTTTGGTGCGATCACAATGCGCCTCAAATCAATTGCAGCCAATATGTATTTGTGAAATATTGTGCTTAACTATGGTCATATTTAAAAAAAATAAATAAACAGAAGTAAACATTAGAAGTGGCAAATGTAATAAAGCTGAGGAAGGTTGTGAATTTGTAATCTTTTTGATATCCATACTCAGATTCGAATATTTGAATCGACCTTCAACAATCGCGCAACCTGTCGTTTAGGTATGTTATTACAGCATACTACATACTAGAGAGGATCTGCTGTAAGTGTAGCTACGATAACCACTTCTATTCATGCCCCCATCTACATAACATCATAACAACACCGTGTTTGCCTAAATGAGCCAAAAAATCATCTTACAGTCTTCTTAAAGGCATCTCAGTTTGTCAAGTGGTAAAAATGTATTTCCCCAGCCAAGGAGTCGACATTTATTTATTATATTAAGAAAACCCAGAGTATTACAATCAACAAATAACAGATAGTATATATATAACACACTTCACATTTGTTTTGTTGAAAAGATCTCTTATTAACAAAGTAATTTGCTGGGGCTTCACCGGCCACCACATTGGTATGGCTTGTGCATTATGGTTACAACACTAATCTTGCCTAATGTGAAGTGTCAACTCATGGGCCCAAAAAGTACAATTTAACCAAGATTATTTCTCATGTTTATAATCAAAGCAACAGAAAATCTTCTGTAGTTTTACGCAAGTACTGTGCCACCTTGCTTTTTTACCAATATAATATGGCTTGGGTTACTACAGTAAAGCACATAAAACTTTCAGAAGCCATACTCATAGCCAGACACATTATATTGAAAAAAAATATATGTATAAGTAACTATTCATGCTTTGAAATTTAAGGAAAGGTTTTTATACTCACCATTTTACTCCATAATTCAAAAGAGGTTCTATGAGATTATCATCATTTAGCATTGGTTCTCCACTAATATTCATCATAAGAGGGACAGAAGGGCCAAACACGTCTGCATCTAAGAGACCTATTTCTTTGTCTGGTTCTATCACTTTCATTGCACATGCGAGATTCACTGTAAACAAAAAAAGAATATTATTATAATATTTTTGGCATGTTTCCATTCGTTTCTTGGTTTCTACAGATGTTATACCAGCTGTTGTGGTCTTCCCAACTCCTCCTTTACCAGAAGCAACAAGTATAATGCTTTTTACTCCAGGTAAGGGCTTTTTCTCTGGGAGACCACGACCCATCACCTTGGCACGGTGTTCATTGAGGTCTTTGGTGTGTTTGTGTCTTATGCTACATGGCAACAGCTGCAAAGAAACGTTTTATTTTTAAGTATCTTCAATAAAATTTAAATGGCATATACTATAAATGATAACATAGGTACACGAAAAAATAAATATTATTTGAAAAACACTGCTAACCGGGTTAAAATTAGAAATAAAGGGTTTGCCGCTGCCGTTGTGCAAAAATTGTCTAATAAACATCAGTGGATTTGCTATTTTGAGTTAAACACGTACGATAATAAATTAAAACAGAACAATAAACTCAGTCTCAAAACTAATTTAAAGCAAGCCAAGCAAATTAGATGCAATTAATTGTCAATTTAATTTCATGACTGTTCTTCTGAATCGGAGATTCGGAGCGAGCTGGACTGCGTTCCAAACCTACGCTCTGAGAACCACAAATGTAAAATTCGGCATAAGTTTCATACATTTTATGTCAAAATTTAAAAGTCGGGGAAAAAGTTGCAATCAGAGCGTAGTGGAACGCAGCCGTGAGCAGTCATTCAAATGTCAAACCCCACCTACTTTTTTTATTCTCAAAAATTGGAATTCAAGCAGTTCTACAGCCATACTGGTGTCGATTCTAGCATGATTCTCTAAACTTAAACTTAAATTTGGCAGCAGTATATCTTTGTCATTCGCTATACAGAATGAAAAGGAGAGACTGATGTTAAATTAAGTTAAATTAAGTTTTAAGTTTAGAGAATCACGCCAGATTCGACACCACTGTCTCTTTTGATGTTTTATATTTGTATTTTTATTATTATGCAAAACATAAAAATACTATCTAGCTCATATTTAGCTTATCACACTAACATGAATAAAGCAAAATAGTGAACACCAACATTAAATAATAACAATCAAAAAAATATTATAAAGCTCTAAGAAGATATTTTCTTTGCCTTCATTTTTTACAAAAGAAAAGTACTGTCAACTAAGGAAATTTGTGGTCTCTCTTAGTACCACAGAGTACCTTATTACCTAGTCTGTGTTTTTGTGGTTCTTTTCGATAATATTTTGCGTTTGATTAATATTCGAATTTCTTGGAGAAAATTGTAATAATATTTCGATGTGAAAATGGCTATTTGTTTACGTACATTATCACATAAATTTTTTCCTATAAATGGTATTGTTTCTACAAAAAATCACTCCAATCGCTTTTCTCGAAAAATCCCAGTGCAGGCACAATTTAAAGAAGAAGTAAGTTATTTTACGATATTTAGGCCAAATTGTATAAAATATCGGGTGATTGTGATGCAGAAAAATACTTTTTGATATTTATTTGTAAGGCATTGGAGACTTATAACACTAACGAAATGTCGTGTGCAGTGAATCCGGTTCACGTGTTATTTAAATCTCTCAAGGAGAAACAGTTTTTGCTATTTTAATGTTTTGTTCTTCCATTGATTTTTAATCTTTAATTTCTTTGCAGTGGGTAAATAAGCGTCATATCTCCAACTATAAATTAGCGCCGAAATCCAGTATAGAAAATAGCATCGATGATATTTATATAAACGAATTGCTTGCTACTGTTTGTATTCCTAAAAATCATGAACAATCTAAATATCCATGCACTAGCAACATGGACATATTGAAAACAAGCTTTGAATGTAATGATGGAGGTCACAATAATATAGAAATAAAAGCCCTAGAGATCACCAGTGATGACTATATAGAAAGGGGATTATCATCCAATATGTTATATCCATACACATGTATTGATAGTTTAGATTTCACAAGCTATAATAATGATGTAAGTAAAAATGGGTAATCAAAGAATATTTTTTTCACCAAATTATATCTTAATTATTTGTCTATATTATTTCACAGCATTTTGAGCCTACTTGCTTGTCAGACTTTGAAAAAGAAGCAGTTGCATACTGTAGAGCTCCTGTTACCCCATCCCCTGCTAAAACCTCTAATGAAGTCCAGTCACCTAGTGATAAACCGAGTGAAGAGCAACTAATGAAAGTATTCAATGTGCTTTCAGAAAATGTAAGAATAGTTATTTTATTTTTGTTAACATTACTATTTAGAGACATATATATATTGGTATGTATGTAGAAGTTCTTATATTGATTGTGTATTATTTGTGCAGATGCCAGATCTTTTTGTAAAATCTTTGGACTACTCTATCTACCATCCTAATCTGGTGTTTGTCAACAACATACGGGGCACTACAACAGTGTAAGTTGATATTTATATAAACCACCTTGATAGAAGTTTAAAAGGTTTATTTTAATTGGATATTTTTATATTGTTGTTTTAGAGGTTTGTTTCCATATGTGCGTCAAATAGCATTACTTAGAACAGTTGGGCACCTCAAATTTGCCTATGTAAAATTTGAAGTAATGAAGATAACAGCAAATCCGGAAGATTCTTCAATAAAGTAAGTATTACATATTTGAAAACTTAAGTTTTAATTTTGTTGTTACTTGCCTTCATTAACTCCATTGATTCATATGATGCAGGCTCAGATGGAGAATCCGAGGAATTTCTGGATTTAAAGTATTCTTCATGTTTTGGAAGTACAAATTGTGGAATTTAAAGGAAGTGTTCCAGGACCAGGAGCTGTGAGTAAAATAAAATCATACTTAATAAATTTTCTTTTAACTTTGTCTATACATATAACAATGTTTTATTTCAGATGGTATGATGGTTTTTCCACATTCTATGTAGGAGGTGATGGTCTTGTTCAGAAGCATATAGCTGACAAGGTATGAATTTTAATAAACTGTTTTTAGTTCATCTTTATTAACAAATGATTTTGATAATAAAGATGAGAAATTTAGATGATATAAATGTATCATCTAAATTTAATTTGTACAAGTTTAATAGTCACAATGTGATTACATAATCTGACAAATGTTTTGCAAAGTGCCTGTTCATTAAATTTCAACACATCATATTATTTAAAAATTGGTTCTCCAATCGAAACCAGATCTAACAACATTGAAGGGACCATATAACTTTGTATGTTATGTCTGATAGTTGTTATAAGCAATATACACAAGTAGTCATATTATTGTCATAAATTTATGTATATAGTATGGTTATAGATAATGAATATAAGCTTGTTTTCAAATAAAATAACGAAAAAAAAAGTAAAAACGTTTACTATGAAACAAATTGAACTACCTCCAGTAATTTTGTTTTGCTGGAACAAGTAAAAAGGTTGGTTGTTATAGCTGATGAATATTGATATGAACTTTATCAATATTCATTAGCTATAAGTCGTTATAAGTGGTATTTCGCTATATCCGCCGCTGTTATAGATGGTTTGTTTACTTAAGGGTTTATATATAGGGTTCCAGCTGGGACCTTACCAATTGGTTGTAATAACCCACACGTCGTTATAAACGATGTCGTTATATTCGGTTTTGATTGTATTTAAGTCAATGCTGTCACATACTGTGTGATAGCAAAAATAGACATCCCTGTTTAGCAATACCAGAATTATATATTTTTTGGATATCTTGGATTGTTGTTGCTCAAATAGGCAAGAATTAGATTATGACAAGTATGTATACTGTATCTACTTTCTTATAGGTTATGCCGGATCAAGACACTATAATTGATGATGAAGAAAAGGCTCCAATAGCTGCAAAGATCGCCCTACTCATTGGATTACTACCTAGAAACTATTTATCTGATGTTTCACCCTTCTTCAGCTCCTCTTCAGGCACTACAGATACCATGCCATTACCTTTCAAAGTTTTAGAGTGATTATGAGTAGTGTCTTTCTTATATATTGAGCTAATCAACATTAAAACAATTTCACTGGAAAAGGTACACAAGTTTTTCAAGCTAGTACTTAGAACTTGACAACATTTACTGCAGATAGAAATAGCAGTAAAATAGAAGAAGTACTTTTCTCCATCCTCTATCATGATTTAACATTATATTGGATTTATGTGCATCAAAGAACATTCACAAAGTGGATATTGTGATATTTATAATAAAATAATATTAGATTTATATTTGATTTTGAAGATATGAGTCGTATAGTATCAAAGGCGGCAAAGTAGGGCGAACCAAATATTTGGCAAATCAAAAAAAAAAACTGTTGAGTCTCGTCTTTAAGGGAGGATAAAATATTGACATTTCACTACGATTTGTAGTTATGATGAATGTCAATTATAAAAATCCTCCCTTAAAGAGGAGACTAAACAGTTTTTTTTGATTTGCCAAATATTTGGTTCGCCCTACTTTGCCGCCTTTGATACTATACGACTCATATGTTATGTTCAAACTCCTTTAAGATTTTGAATTGACAATATTCATGAATGCATTATTTATTTTTTAAGTTTTTTGTTGGGTAGGTTTGTAGTAAATCTACTTGAAAATGAAATATTGTTATGTTTTGGCCATATTTGTAAAGTGCTTAATAGAATTTCATTAATAGTGCAAGGTTGGTAATAGTGGTTTACCATAGTCTGCGTTGCTGTGTACATTTACAAATTAATAAATATTTACCGACATTAATCTGTTGTCATTGTCTTAAAATAATAATTACTTTTCGGATAGTAAAAACTTTACTACCATAATAACTAAAGTAAGAAGTAAACATAGTCGAATCTTAGATTAATACCATAAATAATTTGAGGCGGGTCTTTTAATTTAGTCTCTTGGAAATGGCTTATTTTAAAAAACCTTCATTTTAGTATTTTTGGGTCTGGCGCCATTTTCCGCAGCACGTTCCATAGACACAACCTCAGTAAGTTCTTTTATAACATTTTCCCCATATAAAATAAAGGATAATAAGTTTATACAGCCACGTCTTGAGAATATTTATATTTTCCCTTTGCCATTACATTGTAATACGCATATTATATTAAGTAGAATTTGGAAAATTTCGCCCGATATATATCGAGTCAGCTTTCTATAGATGATTGAGTCATTTAAACCATTTGTTTAACCAATAAAATGTTTTTAAAGGTTTCCATATTTTTTAGTTTCACTGTAGTAACTAAACTACACAGCTGACAAGTTAAGATTGTTCAAATTTAGTATGGTTTGTATTTGTAACAAGAAATTAAAGAAAAAAAATGGTTGCCTGTAAAGTCGGTTTTACGGGCGAAGATTTTACGTGACAACGTCTTTTTATCGGTAGAATATTTATTGATATGAATATAATTAAATTGCACAATAAGAACAAGGAATTGAATGAAAATAAGAATTGCACAAATTTTAACTATAGAAATATATTTTGTTTACTAAAACATTGTACATGTAAACTTAAACTTAACACGAGAGACTCATCGTAACGTTACCGAGCGTTACACTTTTTCATAAGTGACTCCCAGCCGCAACCTAATTTAAGACGTTGTCACGTCAAAACTTGAGGTTTTTGGCGGGGTTTCATCTTTCATCGAGTGCGGTGGGCGTCTTATTTTAGTTTTTCTTAGATTCGTTCATAGTGGTTATTGTGAAATAAAATTGGTGTGATTTTCTGTTGAATCTCTAAAATATACGCTATTCCGGTCATGTGGACGTGAGAACTTTATTGTAGTGTTCACTACTTTACAGAAGCTTATCGAAAAAGCCAACTCGAGGCATTGAAATGAAATGAAATGAAAAGTCATTTATTCAGTCTAGGCTGTTACAAGCACTTGTGAAGGTTATGAAGTTACGCCATCGGTTCGCAAAACTACGGCGGCAACCATTTCTTGCCAATGCCAATACTCCAAGAAACATTAGAATGCGGCACACCGACATTATTATGTAAAAAAAATGGACATTAATGGAACTGAATTTTCGGCTGTATGGGCATTGTTTTCTTTGCCTTCCCTAAAAGGGAGAATGTCAAAAAAAAGAAAAAACTGGCTGGCTGGATCTCTGCTCTATATTCTCTGTGATTCATTCATTTTTGTATTTTGTTGTGATGTGCGAGTTGTGAAATTCTATTATCAGTTTCAGACACAAGGATCTGAAATAAGTGGACTTATTTATTTGTGATGTGATTAAGTGATTGTGTGACATGGAGCAACTCAATGTTGTATGATGTCATGACTACGGTGAGTTTTGATTTTCTAGAATTTCGATATTTTTTTCGTATTTCATCTCAGAAGACAGTTCATTGTTCTTTTTCTACTAGGTAGTTCCTTTCGGAACTCCAATTAATTCTAATTATTTTGCCCGCACAGAGGCACGGTAAGAGAATGTAAATGTATGTGTTCCATGGAATATTGCCAAGTCGGTCGTTTGACGTGTATTCATTGAGTCAAACATACGACGTTGCTGAAAATAAACCTAAAAGTGGTTACACATCTCCGACATGTATCTGTCTCTGCAATAGGTGCTTTGTGCCAAGTGCATTTGATAATTCAATAACTGTTATGAATTATTGAATATTGTATGATACTGATACATGCATTTTGTTCAAATTTTTTATATATTTTTTTACATACAATGGTCTAAAGATAATGGCCTACATACTGAGTGTGGGCAGTGACGTACAGTTACTTATTGCCTTACAAATAAATCGAGGGTCTCAATTAACATGCAGAGGAATGCTCTTGAGACAGATGCTTCATTCAAATAATTAGTGTTAACTGTCTTCAATGGTCCACTGTAAACTTATTTATCAATTGGGCTTCTAACAATAACACAACAGTTCTGTTGAAAGTTAAATACTGCCATGATTTTATATAAGTTTTGTTGCTACTAATTTACTTATCTGTTGATATTATGTTTAAGATTTTGTATGTATGTTATTTTTTTGTTGTTCTTCTGTGTTCAATTTTATTAATGCATTTATGATAGATTGCTAGAATTAACCATTTGATAACTAAATAATAATCTGCTTTTGAATTTGGAGGAAGGAAAATTAATAACTGCTTATATTACCACATTATAATCAATGGTGTTGCTCCTTCATTGAGTAGCATCAATGCTTTATTTAAAATGTAAAGTATTATAATATAAAAAGTTTTTTTTATATTTCATTTCTTTTATGAAAAAATTAACTATAATTCTAATTGGAAAAATATCCCCAAGTATAACTTGGTTTAATCAGAGATGAGGAGATATATTATTAAGAAAATGCCATAAACTATCACCTGTGCAGTAGAAATTTATTTTATTTCACAATATAATACTGAATAAAAGGGTGGTAGTAATAAACTATGTAATATCATGTTAAAATCTAAAGTAAATTTATTTACTATTTATATCAATCAATGTATATGTTGTAGTATGATTTGATAAATCAAATTTTAGTTATATTTTTTAAGCATGTACCCTCTTTCTTACAACCAAGGTTACCAACCTTTAAAAGGTGTGTGAGGATGGCTGGTGTGGCAGGTGGAATTGCTGTACCAGCTATCTTCATGTCTAGACTTCACCATCACTTAACATCGGGGTGAGGTGCAGTAATTTGTCAGACTATAAAAAAAAGCATTTACCTGCTGGAGGTTTAAAACTAAAGAAAATTTTACTAGAAAAAAATCCATGCGGCCGGTCAAACCCACATCCTACTGTATCTAGACGGAATCACTGACCAATTAAGCTATGGCGGCCTTAATGGCTCTGAAAAATTTCTTCTATTATTTCTAAGTCTGCAAGGCTCAATTTTTAATGAAAATTTAAGGTATCCTAGAGATTACTCAATCTTACTGGAAAAAAGGATTTTTGCAAAAATGCTATGAGAAAAAAATTTCCTATGAGATTGTGAAAAAAACAGCTTAAAAATAAAAATTCTTGGGTTCACACTAGGTAAGGTTAGTGTTGTGACCATGACAGAAAAAAGTTTGTTAACTACTGTTAAGAATTGGAATCTTACTAGATTGAGCAATGTCATTCCCATTGTCTAGTTTATCCCCATTTGATTAATATCCTTAGGATTTTTGTGAAAAATTCATTTATCTAATCATCCTCCAACATATAAATAGTAATGAATTTTTAAAAATTTCAACAATACCTTTAGAGAATGGCAACATTTTGTATTAAATTAAGGGTTATCTTATTAAGAGTAACTATATATTTGTTTTTTAATTAAAATATTTTTTCTGCTTATATAAAAATGAGCCCTATAGAATTATTCAAATAAATTGTATGAAACAACTTGTGTAGGTTTTCTGCATTCCTAAAACTGTGATTGTTACATTGTTTCAGGGTGCTGATAGAGTAAATTTACTAGATTTAAATATATGAAGACAGCAAAACGAATGATGCCATAATGTCAAAGGTGTTACACAAGCTAGGCGACGCGCTGCCGGATGAGCGGCCGCTGTTGTCTTTGCAAATCGTCGAGAGTGTGGCCAAGTGTCCTGCAGGGTATAGGCCTGTCAACCGCACCTATGACGAAGACGCCGATGCAGGCCTGTTACGCCAAAATGGACTCTTTGGCAAGAAGCCCAGCCACTACATTTGCCTATCAAAATCTGAAGGTATGTTCACATGGATTGTATGCATATTTTTTTAAAGTGAAAGGAGAACAACCACTTGTATGGGGGGTTGTTACAGATACCAAGTTCTTTGTGCAGAAGCAAAATATACGCCATTGTGAAGCTTATTGATAATGTATACCGCTAGTATTTAATTAAATTTGGTAGCTGGTTGGGTTAATTTATTTATTTATCTTTAACAAAGTGAATTCTGCGATTTTTGTGGATGTAATACAATAAATATTATCAACAAAATAATTCATTATAGAATATTTACCCGAGCGATCGAAATTGTATTGGCGGCGATTCATTCAGGTGTCGGGTGTCCATCGCGGGTCC